TCAAGTAAAGTATATATATATGTAGGTAAAAAATATTTCCAGTTTAGTGTAAATGGGTATGTAAAATGAGTAAAAGGAACCATTCTGCCCGGACTAGTAGCGCCTTATGTAAACAATGCACTCGCAATTTAGCCAATGATTGAAGCCGCGTGATGAGGCGTCACATGATAAAGTAGTCATCTTTTACAGGGGCCTGTTTCACGAAATTTTAACTACAGATAAAATCCAAATTATAGTAGATACTTCAATTTTGATTGGCTAAGCACTAAAACCAATCTAATATTATCCAATCAAATTTCTGAAATTTGGATTTTATCTTAAGTTAAAATTTCGTGAAACAGGCCGCAGAGCTATTAGTCTTGGCAATATCTCTGTGAAACAGATTGTGGTCTAACGGGTGCGCTTGAGATCACAGGTCCGTCAATGAGTCAAAATGGCGTGGTTTGTATTCCCAGTTTGTACGTGATATTATGTAGGGTCGACTATCCAACCTCGTGGGTTTTCGCTACCCCCACCCAACCCCACTGCTAACGACTTCTAAGTTCTTGAAATCAAAATGAACCTTGTTACTCCCGAAATGGCCAAGTTTATGTCGAGTAGACGTTACCCCCTTCCTCTCCACAACGCCTCTCATTCAAGCCATCTCTCGTTTCCACTGGTGAGGATTGACACCTGCGGGTTTGATAATTAGGAACGTCTCGTCTGCCTAGTTGTAGGGATGAGAAGAAAACCGAGATCCCTTGGTAACTGGAATAGTGTGTGGATGGGATGTTAAATCCAATTCCATTCCTGATTATTTACAATATTCCAAGATCTAATAGCATCTGTATGAAGTTTATATTTGTTCAGTTGGGCTGCAGGTGTGTCAGTGCAAAAATACCTTTGGGAACAGGCGTCAACGAGAAGCGCAGCTGGCAGATAGTGAAAGGGGTATACTTGGTAGGGAAGGGGTGTGTGGATTCAGTAAGTAGTTAGAGAGGGTAATGGTGCGCGATGGAAAGTGGGTACCCCCTGATCCCGCTCGAACAACATTTTTCACATTTGTAACAATATCAGTTTAAGGTAAAGTTACGGTGTGTAAATATTACTATTATTTACACCCATGTTCCTGAAGCAACGACCGCGAGTTTTACAACGATAAGATGTACGTAGTTAAGGCGAGATCAAGCCTTCTATTGAAGATGATTTACACCAGGAACAAAGATAGGTTGCCAGGCAACAAAACATACGCCCACAGCAGCTAAATCGTCCAGGTTTGTCGCATATTTATTCCTTTGTACGTAATTGGGGGCCTTTACAAGACAGTTCCATACAGATCAGATTATAAATTTTGTCCTTTGAGGGTTTACAAGGTTCTACAAACTGAAAAAAGGGTCTCAACTCTGGAAGTAATCTACAGAAATTGTTGAAATTTGACAGGCTTTTTCGTTTTACTAATTTAAATAATGCATATAAATTTCATACAGATCACATGATCACTTTTGTCATTCAAACGTTCACAATCGCCATAACTCTAGAAATTATTGACGGAAATTGCTGATATTCAATAGACCTGTTTCACAAATTTAAATGATGCATATACATTTCATACATATCGGATGATAACTATCATCAATCGAGCATTATCAAGGTTAAACAAAGTGAAACAAGGGCAATAACTCTAGAAGTAATTAATGTAAATTGCTGAAATTCAATAGGCTTTTTCGTTTCACTAATTTAAATCATGCATATAAATTTCACAAAGATCGGGTGATAACTTTTTGCGTTAGAGCGTTCACAAGGATCAATAAAGTGAAACAAGGGCCATAACTCTAGACGTAATAAACTGAAATTGCTGAAATTCAATAAGCTTCTCCGTTTCACTAATCTAAATAATGCATATAAATTTCACAAAGATCGGATGATAACTTTTGGCGTTGTAGCGTTCACAAGGATCAATAAAGTGAAACAAGGACCATAACTCTAGACGTAATAAACGGACATTGCTGAAATTCAATAGGCTTCTTCGTTTCACCAGTTTAAACAAGCCAACAGTGAGGCTGATGTCCCCCGCCGAAATAGGAAAATAATTAGAGGACACATATAAATTTATCACAAATTATCTTTTACAAAGTATTGAACAATCAAACAGTATATCTTTACTTATAGTCTAAGCATACAATGTTTTTGATGGAATAATTATAGCATATTAAGGGGAAAACATGCTCTATGCCTACAGATCTAGAGTTTGGTTGTATCAACGGGTCTATTTTCCATCTTGCTGCAAGTTGTGCAAAGTTCACTGTTTTCTTTCTGTCATTAAATGTCAATTCATTATTGCATACTACATATTTAATTAATTTATAATAGTTCTCACTTAATTAGAACTAAAGTTATCGTGTCCCAAAGCATCAACCAATCAAATTGCTTATCTCTGCTTACCCTAAGCGGAAAATGCTCATCTTCGAACTCCATCAAGGCATTGACCTAATCAACACATACATCAAGTTTGAACATTCTAGCTCAATTAGGAAGAGAGTTATCGTGCCCCAAAGTATCAACCAATCAAATTGCTTATCTCTGCTTACCCTAAGCGGAAAATGCTCATCTTCGAACTCCATCAAGGCATTGACCTAATAAACACATACACCAAGTTTGAACATTCTAGCTCAATTAAAAGTTATCGTGTCCCAAAGCATCAACCAATCAAATTGCTTATCTCTGCTTACCCTAAGCGGAAAATGCTCATCTTCGAACTCCATCAAGGCATTGACCTAATCAACACATACACCAAGTTTGAACATTCTAGCAGTTCTCACTTAATTAGAACTAAAGTTATCGTGTCCCAAAGCATCAACCAATCAAATTGCTTATCTCTGCTTACCCTAAGCGGAAAATGCTCATCTTCGAACTCCATCAAGGCATTGACCTAATCAACACATACACCAAGTTTGAACATTCTAGCTCAATTAGGAAGAGAGTTATCGTGCCCCAAAGTATCAACCAATCAAATTGCTTATCTCTGCTTACCCTAAGCGGAAAATGCTCATCTTCGAACTCCATCAAGGCATTGACCTAATAAACACATACACCAAGTTTGAACATTCTAGCTCAATTAAAAGTTATCGTGTCCCAAAGCATCAACCAATCAAATTGCTTATCTCTGCTTACCCTAAGCGGAAAATGCTCATCTTCGAACTCCATCAAGGCATTGACCTAATCAACACATACACCAAGTTTGAACATTCTAGCCCAATTAGGAAGACAGTTATCGTGTCCCAAAGCATCAACCAATCAAATTGCTTATCTCTGCTTACCCTAAGCGGAAAATGCTCATCTTCGAACTCCATCAAGGCATTGACCTAATAAACACATACACCAAGTTTGAACATTCTAGCTCAATTAGGAAGAGAGTTATTGTGTCCCAAAAAGTGTGACGGACAGACAGACGGACGGACAGACGGACGGACAGACAGACAGACAGACAGACAGACAGACGGACGAACCCATTTTAATAGTCCCCTGCTTTCTTCGAAAGGCGGGGGACAATAATGCATGTAAATTTCACAAAGATCGAATGATAACCTTTGGCGTTGGAGCAATCACAATGTTCAATAAAGTGAAACAAGGGCCATAACTCTAGACGCAATAAACAGAAATTGTTTCAGTAATCTAAATAATGCATATAAATTTCAGAAAGATCGGATGATAACTTTTGGCGTTAGAGCGTTCACAAGGTTCACAAAGTGAAACAAGGGCCATAAATCTAGACGTAATATACGGAAATTGTTGAAATTAAATAGGATTCTTCATCTCACTAATGTAAACAACATATCAATTTTAAAACAATTGGATGATAACTTTTGGCGTTAGAGCGTTCACAAGAAATTGTGGACGACGGATGGACGGATGGACGGATGGACGGACCGACAGACGGACGGACGGGGGCGACGGCAATATACGTCCACATTTCAATGTGGACGTATAAAAACGTGTTATAGTGTAGGCCTAACCACACAATCCATCCTCGGGGATACCGAAATGAAATAAAATGGGGTTTAACGTCCTACTTTTCTACACCGACTGGGCTAATGAAGACAGACACGACACACGCCATGTAATATGTATGGGGTAAATTTCCCCCCGACATCGGCACTACGGCCTACTGTTTATTTTAAATTTCAACTACTAAGGTTATTTTACGTGCAATGTGGACACGGGTCTTCGTTTTTTTGTCATACGAGGTCCCTTAGCCCAGTCGAGTTCCAACTGCCAAGGGATCTTTTACTTCCACGCCAATGTATTCACCGGACCTCGTTTTTTCGTGCCATCCGAACGACTACACGTTGTCCCTTGCCAAGCCCCCAGTCCTGCACCACTGACAAGGAGGAACTAGGCCAGAAAATCCTCACTGAGACACCATGACTCCCCCAATGTTATGACTTAGTTTGTGTAGACTGGTTAAACCCCATCGCTCCCTCTCTCTGATCAATTTAAGAAAGGTACAAAGACCGTTGACAGTACCATAAATACACATGGCGCGCCATAAAATCTTCAGTTTAGTTCGATTCATGGCAGAATTGTGTTTACTCTTCTTGCTTCCAGTCTGTGACTAAGTCAGTACGTCCTAACCCCAGTGTCCAAAAACAGAGGTGCTGTGTACACGTTGACGTGCACGTAAAAGAACCCTTGGCAGTTTAAATTCGACTTAGAGTAGGTGGAAAAGCCGATGCCCAGGAAAAACTTTATTCATAGCACATCGCACGGTACGTGCCCGTCTTCTGTAGCCCATTTTATGCAGACATTAAACCCCATATCGTTTCCGAACCATCAAACTGCAGAATTCACAACATGGAGGACACCATTTACTAGAACATCAACAAGATTTTTTAAAGTGATCAAGGGCCATAACTCTGGCAACCGTCGAAAATCAACAGACCTTGGACCGATGACAGTACATGTATATTATGACAACATTTCAATGTGGGCGTATAAAAATCAACAAAAGAATGAGAGGATAATGATATGAAATGCCCTAGTTGTTTATTACAAATAATATCAGACCAGCTGGTTTGTTGTGGTTTGTAACACACACCTGCTGTTATAATACATTGTTGTATACACCATAATAATAAATACATGACAATACTACTCCATCTTAAACAATATACCCTCTCATTCTCGGTATACCCAATGATCTCGTCCCCCTTGGTCTCTTCCGTACGAGACCACTATTGATACCGAATGTACAAAACCGCTGGGGATTCTGAACGCAGGAGACCACTATTGATACCGAACCTACAAGACCACTGAGGATACCGAAAATGCCCCTTGGGATATTGAACCTACAAGACCACTATTGATACCGAACGTACGAGACCACTGGGAAGACAAGACCTTTTCAATGATTAACAGCTAAAATGTGTGACCAAAATAGAAATCCTCGTAACTGGCCTAATAGAACTCTTGAGTTCAGAAACTGGCCTGGTGGAACTAACTAAATTTAGTATAAAAAAACCTGGTCTCACTGTAAAGTTGATATTGTTCTCTTTTAAACACACGGCCTTTAAAAAGAATGCAAGTCATTATTTTATATGGGTAATGTTTACTGATCAGTTAAAATGGTTAGTAATCCAAAAGTAGTCATTAAGTAAGTGTTATGTCACTAAGGTGTTAAACTTGTGTCAATTGCATGATATACATGTTCACCACTATTGTTTAGGGTTGTATATTCAATAATGATGGATATTATAATTAGTCAGGCTTTTACACTATTAATGACTACTGTATAATTTCTAACCACTTTTTATTTAGATTAATTTAGATTAATGATGACTTGCATGCTTTCATGGCCCAAATTTTTATTAGTAAAAGGGTTTGGTTTATAAGTCAACTGATAAAAAACTATATTAACCCTTTAGTACTTGCTGTTCTAATAAGACCTCTCAGACCACACCAACCCACCCCGTCACATGCACAGCTGTGGTGCACGCAAAATGGTCCGACAATAATGAAAGCTATTCTCAGGGGTTGAAGTGGTCTACGGAACAGCAGTTTTGAACTGTTTCTGTCTGTCCAGGGTTATTGCGGTATTAACATATCACTTAACATTCTTCAAGGAACTGGGGTAGTCATAAGTCAATATTTAAATGTACCAAGCCCTAAAGTTTTAAGTCCAGAAACTGATTGATTGAAATGATTTCTTCGGCAACAAGTGTAGCTTAATACATTATTTTAATACATATTTATTTATATACAATATTATTACAAATAACCAGAGTCATATCACACAACACTTTCTCTTATATTTTACAATATTTTAATCATTTAAAAGCCACTGATACTGCTTTCAGAGAATCTGAAGTCCTTGCAAACTACAATATTGTGAAAGATGAATCTGTCCACAAATGATTCAATTCTGTTCAATAAATTTATATAAATTTGAGAAAATTTTCTTTTATATTTTACAATATTTTAATCATTTAAAAGTTACAGATACTGGTTTTAGGGAATCTGAATTCCTTGCAAACTACAATATTGTGTGTGAAGGATGAATCTCTAGAAGGAATATCAGTCCATATATGATTCAATTTTTAGGGAATCGGAATTCCTTGCAAACTACAATATTGTGTGTGAAGGATGAATCTCTAGAAGGAATATCAGTCCATATATGATATAAATTTGAGAAAGTTTACTGACTCTGTCTAAGTTACTTCACGATAAATGTACATATTTACTTCATACGAATAGTGCCATTTTTAATTGCCCTTATAATAAATTTATATACATAACAAAATATCATTCTTAGAAAATCATCCTCTTGTGAACATGCCAACTCCGGTCCGACTTGATCATGTACAGTTCATGGGATTTATTTTTTGATAGATTTTAATTTAAAGATACATTATGTAAGAGCTAAATCTATGGAGGTATATTAGATTCAAAATCCGACTGTGCTGTTGTCTAATTTCTAACTTCTATTCATGTACATGTAACAACAAAAACACATACTCATGGAAACAGCTGCTACTGTATTTTAAGGCAACTTTTCATAGAGTATTTTCACGACGTTATCAAGCTAATAATAATAACGTTGAGAGAATACTCTACGAAACGTCGCCTTAAAATACACTAAGGGATAACATTGAGAGAATACTCTACGAAAAATTGCCTTAAAATACACTTGTAGCTATTTTCCATAAGTATGTGTTTTTGTTGTCTTGATAAAGTTGAGAGAATACTCTACAAAACGTAAAAAAAAAAAATCAAACACAAATCTTCAGATCCTTCACTGGTCTTTCAAAAGAGTGAAAAAATAATATTTAACTTATATTTGAAAAAGTATTTGCCAACCATATCACGTTTGATGTCGTTTTCAATTTCAGCATCGATTTCCCGGGTTGCACCTGACAATGAGTAGGGTCGCCTGTCCAACCATGTGGGTTTTCTCCGGGTCCTCCGGTTTCCTCCTACTGCTAAAGACCCCTATGTGCAAGCTAATTATTGAAATAAAATTGAATATGTTAGTCCCAACCCCAAATGACCTAAAGTGGGCGTTACTCTCTCTCTCTATAGGTAGAAGTATCAAAGTTCTAAATTTGTTCCACGATCATGCTTAACATGTAAAGCGACAATGAAGTAGACATTTTTCGTCTTGATAATAGAAATAAGATGAAACAGAATTAAAACTTACACTGAACAAATAAAGAAGTTGGATTATACATTGTTTCAATTTAGAAATTACATGAATATAAGTTAGAAATTACATGAATAGAAATTAGACGATAGCTTGGAAGAATTTTGAATCTAATATACCGCCATATAAATCTGCATATTGCAGACTTTTTTTCTAGCTTGGAATCTTGTAAAAATTATGACACGCCTGTAATCAAATCTCTAGACCATTGGATTTGAAGTTTGAACATCCGCGACATCGAAAACTTTAATGATAATATTGATAACCTAGACTTAGTTCCGCATTGCTCATAACTTTGCTCAAAATAAAGTCATTGGAATGATATTTTCAATATATTCCATTTTTCATTATCTATTTTTAACCTATTATAGCAGGAACGGTCAGCTCTTTATCAATATCTTACATAATGTATCTTTAAGTAAGTGTATTATAGGCATCAAAACTTTCCAAGACTTATTTTTGTTTATTGAAAGAATGACAAAATAGCCCTATTTGTTTTATAAATGCAGATGTCACAGCATCAAAATAAATGAAATCTACATGTGTAGCAGGAACAGGATGGCCATGGTACATGTAGTTACATGTAGCAAGAATGAGTTTCAAAGAACGAACACAAAAGTTTAACAAGATTACATATGGGTTCAGTTTCCTGTACATTAGTTTCAGCGTCCACTGTCCTTGTATACATGTATATAAAAAAATAATTATTGTCCTTGCTGTAATCATCCTCACCTTCCAATAAAATGAACAGATTGGGTCGGCTTCCTATCTTGAGATTGGGAATCCGCGCTGTGTGTTCAGTAGACCCGTCAAGTAACATCACACTAAACAGACACTTAGTTAGTTGACCGACATTTTAAGTCCTAAATCAACGTTTTTAGTCAAAAACAGTAAGTATATTTGAAGAATTTTGAGAAGTAAATATTCTGTTTTCATTTAGCAAAATTGAAAACGTTGTGTATAACAGATGTGAACCGGAGTAGGACCGCATTTCAAAACAGTATACTAATTGTTGGATATGGCGGCCATTTAGGGCAGAGATCTGTTCTCAAAGTGAATAGTTCTCTGTTTGCATAATGAAGTAACATTTATGATCGCAAGCCATGATTTTATAATGTATCCATATGTTTTCAGTAACATTATTTTATGTGAAATGAAATGGGGTTTAATGTCTTACTTATCGATATTATTATGAATACACATAAAATTTCTATTCACATGACTTGGATTCATAGAACTGGGAGAGAACAGATTCTGTGTTACCTGGACGACGAAAGTAACTCTGTGTTACCGGGACCATGAAAGTAATTCTGTGTTACCTGGATGCCAAAGTCATTCTGTGTTACCTAGACTATCAAAGTAATTCTGTGTTACCTTGACGACGAAAGTAATTCTGTGTTACCTGGACTACGGGTGTGATTCTACTGAACACATACTTTACAACTGACAGATGTACAACTTTACAGATTTCCATGGTTACATTCCAATTTGGGACTTTTTTGTTAAAGAATAACAATCATAGTCCTCATTAATTTAAATGACAGAAATATACTGATTATTTTCTTCTGTCAAATCTGCTGGTTACTTTTCTTCGTCAAATCTCTGTTGGGATTCTATCTTCATCTAATCTGCCGAATATGTTTGGTTTTCTTTTTCAGTACGACAAACTGTCCTCAAATATCTGCAAACAGCGTAGTGATAATTTAACTACTAATCACTGGCCATACATTCACTTCTCACGTCAAACAAAACATCAACCACTGTACAATTATAACAACATTCACGTCAACAAGTATTATGTTCTTCTAGTCCCATAATGCCCTTTTTAAAAAATTCTACTTCCTTATTAGTAAATCTATCAGCACTCTCTTACGGTAATTATATGGACCATATTTGTTAATCACAATTTTTTATCATCTAAATCAAAATCTAAAACCAGCAGTTTCGTCTCCTCTGTGCCGTTGCGACTGCCAACTGCACACACTAGTTTTGTATTACTACACCGAAGACGCCACACAACCCCACCGCTTCCGCCACTGTCAAGAGAAACCAAGTTCCTGAGAAAGTCGCCTGTTTTAAGATCCCAGATTTTGACGGTGCCGTCGTCTGACGATGTTATTACAAATTTTTTACTGAACTGTAAACAAGTGACAGCACTCTGATGTTTATGAGGTCCTGAAAAAAAAAATATAAGTTTACAACAGTTACTGAATATCAGTAGGATATACATACATGTATTACAGATCAATTGTCTAAACACATTTAAGGTGGGGGGTGGGGGAGCGCTACACTATAACCCAGGTATCATTTAATCTTGTGTATTTAGCATTAAATGAAATTAAATGTGGTTTAACGTCCTACTGTTAAGCTCCGAACCTGGCTAATGAAGAAGGGCATATGCTATACATCGAGTTCAAACTGACAAGGGATCTTTTATGTGCACACGGGATCGCGGTTTTCCGTCTCATCTGAATGACTAGACAGCTGCCCTTGTCAGACCCCCCGTCCTGCATCACTGACAAGGGCGAACCACGCGGAAAATCTGGATGGACTTTCTCGGCCAATGCAGGGATCGAACACCAGATATCCAGGCTTGCGAGCCAGTGTCTTGCCCACTTAGCGACTGTGATCCCCCATTTAGCATTAAAAGAGAATCCCATACCTTGTAATGTCTGTAAACACTGTCCACTCGTTATATCCCATACTTTAACCGTTGAATCAGCGTTACCAGATACCAATATATTATCTTTTAATTCTAAACCACTTGTTAACGACTGATGACCTATTAACGTATGTAAGCAATTTCCCGTTTCTACGTCCCAGACTCGTATAGACGTATCCAACGAACCACTCACTATATGTACACCATCAAACTACAAAATAACAAAATACAAAATCATTCAAGAAATTGACATGGATGAACATGAATAAAAGAGAGAAGGATCTGAATCTGCAGTTTGATCTACTAGATGTTCACGCCAAACAAAGTTTCATGATTAATTTCTTGTCCCATCTGTAAATGTATATGAAGTAACACAGCTAGATAGAAATAAAATGAGAGAGAGAGATCATTTCGGGACTAACATTGGGTTCAATTTCATTTTAATAATTCGCTTGCACGTAGGGGTCTTTAGCAGTGGGAAGAAACCCACGAGGTTGGACAGACAACTCTACTCCTTGTCACGTACTAGTTGGGAATCAAAGTCCACACCACTTGACGAAATGCTAGGCCTTGTGATGCAAGGTGCACACGTTAACCATTCGGCCACCAACTGGGCTAACGAATACTAGCCACCACCTCACAGTGTACTATAAGGAAAATTTTACCCAGAAAGTGGTGCTATAGCCTATTCTTATTTCAAATTTCAATTCTCATGGGATCTTTAACATGCACATCAACTTGTACCCAGGGCCTCAACTACATGTATTTGTTCTATCTGAACGATTAGATCCTGTCCTGGCCAATCCCCTACTCCTGCACCACGGTCAAGGGTAAACTACACTGGAAAATCCAAGCTGCAACTATCTTGAATACCACCAGGATAAAACCCCTTGACTGACTGATAAAATATTGAAGTAATGACAGATGCCGATGGGAATCACATCAGAATTTATTAAGCAAAACTGTCTATTTTTTCTTCAAAACAACAATTGATTATTATCATTATTAACATTTCTACCACGCCCAATTAAAATTAAGCATATAATCTTACCGGACACCGGTTAAAAATCATCTCTTTTAAATTGAAGCATTAAAACCTGACAACGCCTGACATTTTAAATAGGAAGAGGTTTGACAGCGTAAAGTCATGAAGGCAGGGCTAAATATGTTGTGTACAACAACCAATCAAAATGCATGTTTTAGACAAAGGGAAAATCGCAAGTAGATAACCTGTACTCCTGGAATGTCCAGTTATTGATATCCTGTTCTATGCCTGATGTAATTAGAGAAACTCCATTTACACACACCTGTAAGGAATAAACTCTGTTTGTGTGACCTTGTAGCGTATGAATACATGCTTCAGTATCTGGATCCCACACACGTACGGTGTAATCATACGCCCCACTAACCACACGTCTACCATCATACTGCACACAACGAACGGCGGCTACGTGGCCCATTAATACATGTAAACAGTCTCCGTTCTCTATATCCCACATACGTAGCGTAGCATCTCGAGACCCACTCACAACTCTATAATTACACAATAAAAATATAATATTACAATTTAAGGCCATAAAAAATTACAATGTAAGGTCATACAAAAAAATTACAATGACAAGGCCATACAAATTTACAATGACAAGGCCATGCAAAATTACAATGTAAGGCCATGCAAAATTACAATGTAAGCCCATGCAAAATTACAATGTAAGGCCATACAAAATTATAATGCAAGGCCATACAAAATCATATTCTGGTTCACAGACATTCTTCAAAATATTTACAGTTATTATTTCGTCAAGGGATCAAGGGCCAAGGCTCAACAACATTTATTTTTATGACATAAATAAATACAGGCCTGAAAATAAGGCACATGTCAAAGACAATTTCTAGCATAAATTTAGATTTTGCGATGTACAACAAAACTTTGATGCCTGTATGTGTGTCAATAGCGCCCAAAAATTTACTTGGATTGACCTCGGTATTTTGTCCATTCAAAACAACTAGTCATCCTTCCTGGTCCACCCCTCTGATGCCACCTTGTACAGCATTCCGCATACATGGCTTGCGATCATATATGTTACTTCATTCTGCAAACAGAGAACTATCTACTTCGAGAACAGATCTCTGCCCTAAATGACTGCCATACCCAATAATTAGTATGCTTTTTTGTAATGTGGTCCTACTCTGGTTCAAATCTGTTATACACAAAAAGACTAATTAAATCTTCTTAATTTTATTAAATGAAAGCAGAATATATACTTCTCAAAATTCTCGAGATGTACTCAAGTGTTTTAGACGAAAATCATTGATTTAGGACCTAAAATGTCAGTCAACGAGCTTAGTGTTTGTTCTCAAGCGGAGCTAATTGTATACCAAGAGTGTGAGTTTAGTATTCTTGTACAAGTGGCGACCATGGTTGAAAAGAGCTGAAAGATCTTACTTGTTAGAATGTAAACTCATACAGCGAACCGTTGATGAATGTCCATATAAAACATGTTGACATTGGCCCGTGTCTGCGTTCCACACACGAAGCGTCCGATCTGTTGATCCACTTATTATTGTATTACCCACCATCTGGGACGACCAGACACCTCCTGTATGACCAACTAACGTACGAAGGCACTGAAACATGACAGCAATATATCAAAGTATAAAAATCTATTGATAAGACAAAAGGTCAGCACACTATTTCTTTAAAATGTATCTTGGACACTGGCTGATGTCCCGCAATTACATTGGACCGGTCTCAGGTCATCACTAGATCACTATCATGTGACTTCTGTAACATTCCAAGTCAAAATGGCCACCAAGATACACATTGGGAGAGTCTACTGTCAGACTGGATGCATAATGAAAATTTACTGAACAGCAATTCTAATACTATTACATCTAACCTATCCAAGAAAAGAAGTATACTACCAAAAGCCTGTTGTACAAGGTATTCACAGTGCAGTCCTGTAATGCCCACATCTATATACTCACAAAGGTTTAAACTAACTTCCATAGATCTGTCTATAATTAGCGGTTTAAACCTACCTTCCTGTGAGCATAGATGGGTCTATGAAGAGGTATAAATTTATCTTGACTGTAAATATCAGACCGGTCCATAATAACAGGTACAGTATAAACCTAATAAGTGGTATTACCCTATCTTGCCTGTAACACCAGACCGGTCTATAATAACAGGTACAGTATAAACCTAATAAGAGGTATTAACCTATCTTGCCTGTAACGACAGACCGGTCTATAGAGAGAGAGAGAGAGAGAGAAATGGGGTTTAACGTCCAATCAACACAAACTAGGTCATTTTGGGACTAACATGGTTCAATTTTATTTCAATAATTCGCTTGCATGTAGGGGTCTTTAACAGTGGGATGACTTGAAGAAAACCCACGAGATTGGACAGGTGACCCAACTCCTTCTCACATACAACCGGGCAATCGAAACCATGCCAGTTGACTCAATGACAGACCTTATGTGGCAGCACGCATGTGCTAACCATTCGGCCATCCGATCCCTCGACCGGTCTATAATAACAGGTATAAATGAAATGAAATGGGGTTTAACGTCCTACTGTTCTGCTCCGACTAGGCTAATGAAGACGGTAACCGGCATATATATACATCTAATAAGACCGGTCTGTAATAAGAGGTTTTAACTTACCTTGCCTGTAACTACAGACCAGACTTTAAGAGTATTATCATCAGACCCACTAACTATTTTATTATTACAATATTCTAAACAAGTTATCACATGGTCATCATGGCCTTTTAAAACCTGAAAGTTAAAAATCAAAATATGTGAATTTATTTCTACTTTCTACTCTGCCTCCAAATGAAATTGAAATGTGGTTTAACGTCCTACTGTTCTGATCCTACTTGGCTAATGAAGATAGGCATACAACATGCAGTGTGCTATGATGAGGGAAATTTTGCCCGGACAGTGTTGCTATGGCCTACTCTTATTTCGGATTCCAACTGTCAAGGGTTCTTTACGTACACACCAAAGTGTACACAGGACCTAGGTTTTTCGTCCCATTCCAACGACTGTTCGATGTTCCTTGCCACGCCTTCCGTTTTACACCAATGGCAAGGGGGAACCGCGCTGGAAAATCCTGATGAACTTTCCCCAGCCAATGCTGGGATCAACATGGGACCTCTAGGATAGTGAGCCAACGTCCTACCGACTGAGCAGCTGTGGCTCCCCTCTGCCTCTAAAAGAAACAGTGCACTGCCACAGTTGCTAGGTGAGTCTGGTGTTGGCTCACTAATCACAAGATTCCAGGTTTGAATCAGGTGTCAGCTGAGAAAGTTTGTTGTTTTCCCTTGGTCAGGGTACAAGACAGATGGTGTGGCAAGGAAAAGTGTCTAGCATTGGAAGCATTTTAAAGATTGTCAGACAGATGGAAATCAAAAATGCGATCTAACGATCTTGAGATAATTGCACTCCACCAAAAATTGCAGACATTGCTCACATTCTGGTTGAGGTCCTTCCTTTAAGATGAAAACGGGTGCAAAAAAAGTATGGGCAATGTGAGAGTGACACAAAACAACTACATCTTTCCTATGAGAGGCATAATGAGATAGAATTTATTTGTGTATGAAAGATCCCAAGACCATTACAATCCGTCAAATATAAACAGAAATGTTGAATCAAATCAAAAACTAAAATGATTTAAAATGAAATAATACTGAAATCAAATACCACTAATTGCCTTAAGGCAGGACACAACCTTATAAAACACTCTGTATAGATTGATCTGTCAAATTGCCCAATATACATGTAGTCAAAATATGCTGATTTTTCAAGTTGTGTCCACAGCCTTTATATTACATAGTGTTAAATCAAACTTTTAACTTGCTTTTTTCTGTACTCAATTTTTCACCCATATCAGGTCTTAAAATCAAATTCTCAAAATCTATGAGAGTTAATGGTCTCATCTTTGGAATACAATTAATGTTATAGCTACGTACTGTGTGCAATAAGGTGATTTTCAAAGTGTTTGTTATACATTTGGTCAATTTAGTGGTGTGTTAGGGATTCATAATGTTCTTTATTAACATTCAAATAGTAAAGTTTTTGCCTTATTGCACTCTTAATGCCTAAATATGTTATTCCAAATCACAAATAGTTTGTTTCAATAAAATTGGTAGAGATTTTGATTTCCTAACAAACCCACTTGAATAAATAAAAAATCCAATATGGCCACCATTTCCATGGCAACAATTTAACATTTTACACTCAAATTATCAAATCTGATTTAGGACATCATATAATAATATTACACTAAAAATTCTTAGGTAGTGTCCTGCCTTAATTCTATATTTTAGATGATTAATCATCTCATTTTTCTTGAGTCTCACCTTATTTGGTCGTATAGCACCGGAACGCCAGTTTTGTTCTATTTGATACTGTCGTAAATATAAAGCTTTCCACTGACTACATAGACTCCCGTTTTTACGTTTAGAGAATGCTGATTTGTCGATACACTCTTCTCGACATTTCTCTCGCCATAAAAGGTTGTCTTCCGTCAGTATGTGCCAATAACGGCAAGTTTGAGCAGCTTGAAGTAGATCTTTAGCGTCAAGGAATGATAAAACGTGTAAGGCAAGCTGAAAATATATATAAAAAATTACACCAAAATTATACACAGAACATTCACTCAATGCCAAATGGGATTTCAGAACTAACAGAGTACATCTTTTGATTTAATGTTCGAAAGGGTCTTTAGCAGTGGAAAGAGCCAGAGACAAATATGATCAGTCATCTTGGGTGAATTCTTGATAAAGCACTAAGGGGGATAACTCCAAATTCGTGACCGACAGAAGAATCATTCAAACAGATATTTTACTGTAAATATTTGTCTAGAAAAAATGATTCGGGGTAAAACTTTATTCTACATGTAGGGCCTGGGTTATCATCTTGTCATAGCAGGATTATTTATAGCCTGTCAGAGTGGCTCCCGACAATAGTCAGGAAGTTTACTTAACCTGGTTTACTCCCCTGCACAAACATGGTTTTAACCTTTTTTATTACGAGGGGGTCTTATATTGACAGAACAGTCAACAATAATTGTCAGAACAGCTAAGGAATGGACTCCAAGTGAATTTAGCTGTGAATTAGATTTTATATTCTGATGCCGACACGTCTATTTTGCGTTCGAATAGTGATTATACTATAAGTGGGGACATTTCTTCTGAAGAAAATTCAGATGTTTGTCAAAGTAAAGACACAAAAAAGGAAGACTTCTACGGAGGAAATTATTGGCCCCCCGACCTATACTATTCTTACAAAAGGAGATCTTTATCAAGCTAATAATCCATATTGCTTTACTCCTGCCATTTTTTAATGGCGAAAAAATACCTAATATTTCATTTATAACAATAACATGGCAACCATTCTGAAACCCACTAACAATCATGGCAACCAAACGGCTAAATTACAAATATGCAAAAATCATATATAATATATATACATTTGCAATTTTCCAGTTGTGGTCATATTCACATTCAAGGTCTGCTTGTATTTTCACAACAGGGTCTAAAGCTTGATTTTTACTCAATATTTGCATAGCCTTCTATGGGTATGAAGTGGTTATCTTAGGAAGGGTTAACTTACCTCTTTTGGAAGAAGTGAAATAAAGTCTCGCTGGAATTGGGGTTCGATAGCCTGCATCATGTGACGAACTTGTGTTGGTTCACATAATTCAATCATCTGATCTAGCGCCATTAATCTCTCCGCGTTCGTCCAATTCTAAAATTTAATATATTCCAAATATACAACAACATGCCATTGTATTTTCAAATACCATTATCAAATTTACAACAAAACACGACCAAGCTATTAATCTATAAATAAATATATTCAACACTTAAAACAAAACACGATTCATTCCTTTATATTTTCAAAATTCTATTATTAATTAATTCTATTAAAATTCATACGTAATCATTATGCAAAGAGATCTTAAAAACATTTTGATTGGTCAATAATTGTGAAGCATTACACAGGAGGCTTACTCTCCGTAAAGTAGACTTGAATTAGCTCTGGTACCATACATCTAACCTAGGCTGTATGACGAATTCCACCATTGGAACTACCTTTAAGGTCTGAGATTAAAAATTGGGGGGGGGGGGAGGCTTTCAATTTCTGAGGCTGTTTTTCTTTAAAGTTTATCTGATTTACTTTAAACAAAGCACAATTTTGCTATGAAAACTCTACACCCTCTTCAAACAACAGTTTTGAGAACTTCTTTCTACATATCACTTACCGCCACACAGTCGAGGTTAGATGTAGGTGACCAGAACCAGCCTAAGTTTGCATCTCTTGCAATACATATTATTTTTTTGAGTAGCTCGGCGAGTATGGTTGAATCTAAAACTAACCTTGAAGGTATCAAGCCATTGTTGAAGACCTGCAGGAGGATTTTCTTTTGATGGAATTCGCTGTCGAGATATCGGACATCGTATCCAAGTAGACAAGGCACTGGACCCATGACCACAGCTTAAACAACTGGAATAAATAAATCAATACAAAGATACAGATGTTTGAACGTTTTACAAATTTCATCGAAAATTTAAAATTGAGACTCCTAAGAGGACACAATATGAACTGATATGAGGTTTAATGTCCTACTGTTCTGCTCTGACTGGGCTAATGAAGACGGTCATACACCATACAGTGTGCTAAGAGGGAAATTTTGCCCAGACAACGGCACTTCTATCGAATTCCAACTGTAATGGGATTGGGGTTTAAAGAGATGGGGTTTAAAGTCCACTCGAAACAAACCGGGTCATTTCGGGACTAACACATGGTTCTATCTTATTTCAATAATTTGTTTTTATGTACATTTGTATATTTAATTAAGGGGCTTTAGCTGTGGGAGGAATCTGAAGAACCTGGAAAAAAACCCAAGCCATTGGACAGTAGACCCTACTCCTTGATAGACCTTATGATCTAACATGTATGTGTTAAACCATATGGCCACCCAAAACCCTCGAAATGGGATAAGGATCTCTCCTTCAAATTATCCGTAAAGAAGTATGTTACCCATATAATTTTTATATATCCATCTTATACAATCAAACATTAGCTAATTTTTATTACTTGTTCATGAATAACAAAAAATTTAATTGTTTTGTGACTCAATTTAGCAAATAAATATATTATTTATACTAATATGTCATAAATTAAACATAAGTCATAACAATAAATAATTATTCATAGGTCATAAAACAAATTAATTATTTAAATAGGTCAAAAAAATAAATCATATATAGGTCATAAAATAATACACACCTATGACAAGGAAATCTACAAATACGTTTAACAGGACAGTAATCTTCTTTTAATGTAGATTTTCTCTTTATCTAAAAAAATAATATATATTATAATAGTTATTACACCATTTAACTGGTTTACAGAAAAATACTTACATCTTTGCGACTTCTCTTCAATATATAGTAGGGTATTGACATTGAGTTACATATATGCAAATAGAGATATAAGCTGTGCAACTTCCCTTCAATTTATAGTAGGGTATTCATGTCGATTTACATATGCAAATACATGTAGAGATATAAGCATCATAGTTAATCTAAATTTGCGTATCGACCAAGATAGTCAATCAGGATTTTCCTGCATGGTTTCCCTGTGTATACAATGGCGGGCACAACATACAGTGAACCTTTGACTGTTGGAATTTGAAGTTTGTGTAATGCTCGTCTTCATTAACCCAGTCGGAGCAGAGCAGTAAGATGTTAAACCCCATTTCATTCTAGAATGGAACGGAGTTTAAAGTTACGTCTATATGTCTATCATTTTAAACGAATGTAGGGTAATTTTCATTTCAATGGTTACACATTAATATGAAGCAGAATATTTTGAATGCAAAATGAAAAGAAATGAAATGGGGTTCAATGCCCTACTGTTCTGCTCCGACTGGGCAAATGACGACAGGCATACACCGGACAGTGGTGCTACAGCCTACATGTACTTGTATATAAAATTCCAACTGTCAAGGGATCTTTTACGTGTACGCCAAAATGTACAAGGAACTTAGGTTTTTGGTCCCATCCGAATGACTAGACAGCTGTTCTTGTCAGGCCCTCTGTCCTGCACCACTGACAAAGGGAACAAAACGGAAAATCCCAACGCACATCACATTCTCTGCCAACAACGGGAGCGAACCAGCAACCTCCAGGCTCGTGATGCCCTCGGCAACTGCCTGATTGTATGCCAGCTCAGCCCCATCTACATGTATGAATGCCACTGCACAGGAAGACCTCGACACACTTTCCTTATAAATCAAATAGGACAGTCTGTGATACTTGACTCTCCTTGTCAAAGAATGCCTAAAGTGTAATTAACGATTACATGTTATAAAAGGGAGACAACTCACCAACTGGTGTTTACAGGAAGAAGTTTCACGTTTACAGCAGCAAGATCCACACAAATCATCTTCGTCATCGTCAAGCCCCTCCCCATCGTCCTTATCCCCGTCTGTATCACTCGTATCAACAGACTGAGACTGTAGTGTGTCCATCGACGATTCATCTCCCTCATCCCCGACCTCCATTCCCCAGTCACCAAACCCCACACTCTGGGGACCGTGAAATGAGTCCAAATGAACATCTCGGTCTCGTCGTATTTCATTCTTATTAACTGTACAATTCTTATTTACATCTCGATTCCCAACCGATCTCTCCACGGGTAAACTCGCAGTCGAAGAACTGCTCTGCGTTCCATCCTGTTCACTGTGTACACCATCTTGAGGACTGGACGATCCATTTGATACCGTAGACTTGTTCAGTCCTGAGGAAGAACAAGTCAAGCCATCTTCTATTAAATCTTTTTTAAGTCCACTGGATCGAGTAATTCGACTTGGGTAAAATGGTTCATGAGTTCGTCTGTTTTTGACGACAGCGTTCTGTTTTTTACATGTTGCCGATGTTGAAGAGTCTGGATCCGGTTTACGATCTACGATATTACTACACGATGTTGCTCGTTTGCCACGTTTCTTCCCATAATTACCAACGTCGGAAGAGGAACTACTTTTAGTTTGTCGAACTCTGAAATATAATAATCAATCATTACTACAAGCAAGAGAGAGAGAGAGAGAGAGAAATGGGGTTTAACATCCACTCTACACAAACTAGGTCATTTCAGGACATGGTTCAATTCTATTTCAATAATTTGCTTGCGTGTAGGGGTTTTAGCAGTGGGAGGATACCGGAGGACCCGGAGAAAACCTACGCGGTTGGACAGACAACCCTCCTCCTTGTCACGCACAACCAGGGATTCGAAACCACACCAGTTGACTCAATGACAGACCCTATGATACAGCGCGCACATGTTAACCATAAATGTGGATAAATAGGAAGTTTGTCAAGTCATTCAACGAAAAAATTTCTGTCAAGTGAAGATAAACAGTAAGTGGCATTAAATGTTATAGAAGAACAGTCTGACCATCAATTTTCACAATCACTCAGAAACCCTTTGTACTTGCCTCGTTTGTCCCCGATACAGTATTGTATAAAGTTAGTAAATATTAATTACCTGACAGGTTGTTTAATCTTTTTACAGGTCAAGATTTGTCGATTCTGATCAACGATGCTTGTGCCGATACCAGGAACTTCAGATAGAGAATCTACACTTTCAAATCCACCAATTTTCTACAAAAAAAACCCCTTGAACAATATACATGTAATTACAGATAGTCTACTACAATGATCTCTAGAAGTTTCAGTACTGGAAGTTGGTGTGCTCAGAAATCTTATGTATAAATGTTCTTCTTTGATTGGATAAATAGAGAGAGAGAGAGAGAGAGAGAGAGAGAGAGAGAGAGTTTAACATCACCTGGACACAAACTAGGCCATTTCAGAACTAACATGTGGTAACTTTTATTTCAATAATTCACTTGCTCGCAACTTGCAAGGATTTATAGCTGTAGGAGGAAACTGGAGGACACAGGGAAAACCCATGATGTTGGATAGGTGACCCTAATTCTTATCACAAACAAGAAAAGATATAATCCCTGCCACTTGACTCAATGACAAACCTTATGATCTAACGTGCATGCTTTAGAGCACTCGGCCCACCCTACCTCCCAGTAGTTTAATTTAACTTATAATATTACTGATTTGTTGTAATTACCTGTCTGTATTCAACGATTGTTTCAGCTTTTTTTAATCCAATTCCAGTCAATGTCTGTAGTTTAATAACTGTAGCCAAATTGATGTCAATCCTCATTCTCCAAACCTGTAAAATAAAACATAACTTTATATCTAAAATAAAATGTACAATCAGTCAATCAGCAAATTATAAAGATTACATGACTACATGTATGAACAAAACACACTACAATGTAGAATCAGATATTGTATAGTTGTGCTGTTTTAGCAGGAGTGTCTGTATTTAATGTTTAGATTGAAACCATTTTTGGCACATTGTTAAAATTTGTTGAGAATCATCAAAAAATATTATGTTCTTACTGTTGCGTAGTTTAAAGTGGTTCGTCTAGATTACAGTCCTTCATATTTATGAAATTGTGTGGCAGCTATAAAAAGCTCCTGCCAATTTCAAAACTGAGAAAAAAACTTCGGTAAATTCTCTTCTTAATTATATTGGTAGAGTAATTCTACATTTTCTTGAATTAAGGAGAGCCAGTATTTATGCTTTAGTCTTGTTTCATATTCTCTTTATATGTTTTTATGGAAGATATACTATCTTACATTAGTATTGGATATTAGAATGAAAACGACGGAGATATGTTTGGTGAATATGGTAGCGTCAGAAATTATCATCATGGAAACTGATAGCTCGAATATATGCAGTTTAAAAATATATACAATTTGTAATGTCTTGATGAGCTTCTTTTTAATCTGAATGAATCCAAGCCGGAAATGAAATGAAGAAGGGCATAGGCCATACAGTGTGCTATGGGGGGAATTTTGCAGCCTACTCTAGTTTTACAATGTATATCGAATTCCAACTGCCAAGGAATCTTTTACGTGCACACAAATGTGTACAAGTAGGAACTTGTTTTATCATGCCATCTGAATGATTAAACAGCTGTCCTTGTCTGGCCCTCTGTCCTGCACGACTGACAAGGGGAAACCATGCCGGAAAATCCTGAACCCGTGACCTCCAGCCTAGCTAGCCAGGGTCTTACTCCCATAGCCACCATGGCTCCAAAATCCAAGCCAGATTTTGTTTTCTTAATTAAATGTTAAATGATCAAATTAGGTACATTTTAGCAGGTGATCAAGACATTAAAAACGAGATACATGTATATGACTCTAGAATATACAAACTCTATCTACGGTACCTTTAGCAAATTATCACCCAGCAAAACCTGAAACGCTTAAAAACTATAACTCTACGAACACAGAAATATAAAAACTTCTGTTAGATAAAATGCCACATCTAAACGTGGGATTAACCTGGTCTGGTATCATTATTCATGCTGATTGTTATAACATTTCAGCGTACAGTACAATAAACAAATTGAAATAAAAAATTTAATTTAATACGAACCACTGAAGTACATGTAATGTATATTATCAATTTCATCACTTATTATCAAGTTACAATACTTGTACATGTATGTATGTACAGAGCCATATGTAATGAAGGCCTAATGGGAGTACATACATGTATATACTCATAATGACTGGGTATTTTTTTATTTCACATCTAAAATGTTACATTTACTTGTAGATGTGTATGGTCATGGTGGCTGTAAGACACGTTTATCATTCACACAATGAAACAGGAAAAAATTTCAACTTATTCTTAAGAGTTTTTTCCCCGCCCTCATTTTTTCAAATGGTTATGTCTTTAAATAACACAGCGTACATGTGAAATGTGTGCGTTTTAATTTTACAAATTGCAAAAGTAATAATTTTGATGATCCACCCGACATCTATTTTAGAGAATAAATCCTACTCTTTGCAACTGTATTATCATTATGAAGCTTTTCAACTATCAACAGTCTATTACTTAAAATTATTTGCAGAGAAGAAGAGAAATGGGGTTTAACGACCACTTGGCACAAACTAGGCAATTTCTGGACTAACATAATATGGTACAAATTTATTTCAATAATCCACTTGGGCGTGCATAAGGTCTTTTACATAGCAGCGGGAGGAAACCAGAGGACTATGGAAAACCCACCCACATGGTTGGGCAGGAGACCCTACTTCGAGTCATGTGCCAGTTTGGGATCAAAACCACATTATTTGACTCAATGACATACCTTATGATCTAAAGCGTAAATGTTAGATCACCCAACACCCTCCCTACTGTTTGTATAAATCTTTAATTTGTGTTACGGTACTTTAATGTATTTCTTATTTATTTTTAATTTATACATTTTTCTTTTTTACTTTTATATGATCAGGTAGCTTATATTATTTATTTTTTTGAGAAAGCTTACTACTTGTATACTAAGAATATAAATTTGCTATCGAGCAAGACTGGTTATTGTGTGAAATCGTGACATACATGCACATGTAGTGGTGCATTCCATTGCAGTGGTGTTTTTGACCAACCTGTGTCGAACCCAGGATTTCTGAAGGAGTTGATATTGATAAGGACCTAGTAGTAGTGGTACAGGCTAATTTATCCAAAACCTTGATGGTATGAAATAGGTTTATGTCCTACTTTTCTGCATCAACAGTCTATGAGGAATCTTCTGTATCCCCACAATTTTCCACGATTTCAAATTATCTGCCCTGGCCTTAATTGTAGCTTGAGAATACGAACCAATCAAAAAACAGTTTACAAACCACAAACCAGTCTTACTAAAGAAATGGCCTTATTTTCGCGTTTGTTTATATACGGGTAAATAACCATATTCATCTCCATTTACTGAGTGAATGATTTATGTCAATAATTATATATTTCTAATTCATTTAAAGATACATTATTGGAAATAAGATAAAGAGATGGCAGTTCTCGCTATAGTTAAAAACTAGATAGTGTAAAGGTAATTTGCTGGAAATTTCAGTAAAATTGATCCACTATGAGCCGAGAAAGAAGCGGGTGAAATTTTTGCATAGTCTCGGTCATCATTACTAAAATCATTTATACATGTATAAACAGCATAGTCTCGATTATCCACTTTTTCTGATTTAATTAACAACGGCCGTTAGCAGCATATAGGAATCTAAGCCAGCCAACATCGAAGGCTAGCCTTGACATCAAGAGTTTATTACTGTCTGGATAAGTTATTTAATGTCTAATTGATAATTTAGATAATAGGCCTAAAGAAAGACTTGTAATATGCAGATTTTGCTCTTGCATAATGCATGTTTAATTATATCTTATTGTAGGCCTATTATCAAAATCTTTAGTTTTTTTCGCCAATTTCAAATATGTATAACATCTATATATTGGACTTATTTTGTTATTATATTCGTTCTTTGTCTGAAATGTTTCATTCTGTTATGTTTATTATTATTGAACCTATAGAAACATGTAGCAACTTGATACTGCAGAGTGTGATTGCGTTATGCCTACGTAAGTAGTGCAGTTAAATTGCCAAAGGTACTCTCGCCAATACTTGATTTTACAGGTTTGAGTTTATACATTACGAAACCGCCTAAACAACATTATCAATAAAACTCTTGAACCGTTATATGATATAAATACCTCTGTCTGGTCTTTATTAAACATACATTATGCAAGAGCTAACCGACCTATTGCAGGTCTTTCTTTAGGCTTAAAATATTATCTAAATTATTAATTAGAGAGAGAGAAATAGGGTTTAACATCCACTCGACACAAACTTGGTCATTTTGGAACTAACATACAATGTATGGTTCAATTTTATTTCAATTATTTGTTTGTGCGTAGGGGTTTTTAGCAGTGGGAGGAAACCAGACGACCCAGAGAAAACCCACAGAGTTGGACAGATGAACATACTCCTTGTCACGTACAACCAGGGAATCAAAACCACAACCTTATGATACAGCGCACATGTGCTAACCATTCGGCCACCCCCTTTATTAATTAGCCATTAATTAACTTATCCAGATCATAATCAACTCTCGATATTAGCGGATTGGAATACAATAACGTAAAAATGAATAACCAAGACTTTTTTTTATCATAATGATGATCGAGGCTAGTTTAAAATTCAAAAGCTAATATCACGGTTCAGAGAGAAGCTATTTGACTGAAATATAGCAAAAACTGTTAAATCTTTATCTAATCTCACATAATGCCCCTTTTTAGTAGAGTGGAACGAAATGAGACCACGGAGGATATCGAGGATGGTTATAAGGTAAATTCTGCCTGGCCAGTACTATTTCAAATTATGTCAAAGTATTTACATGTAGGCCTACATGTATGCCAACAAGTACACCTGTAGGGAACTTGGGTTTTCGTACCATCCAATAAATCAGATGCTGTCCCTTGCCAGGACCTCCTTTCTACATCATTGATAACGGGGAAACCACAATAAAAAAATCAAAAGGAACTATCTCGGCCAATAACGGGATCAAACCCGAGACCGCACAGCGTCTACTCACTGAGCCATACCACCATGGCTTTGCCACAGACATGTGCCTTGTCCGTAAGCAGATCAACATTCACTTATATGCAGACAAACTTTGGAAGAAAATTATGAATGTTACATATAAGATACATGTAACAGTTTTATTTACAGGAATATTGTATATTACTATAGGCCTACATATAATTATAAGAAAATTGATTTTATGCAACTGGAGGTAACACCAAGTTTAGTTGTAAGGGTCTAGACTTGATAGTAACTCAGTTATTGCCTATTTAAAAAGTAGATGGCTATCAGAGAGCAACAATAATTTTTATGTCACAGTACAGTCCATAAAAAAAAAGAAAAAAATGTCAAATGAATGAATGGGTAAGGTCAATTTCCCTGCACTATCTATAATTACTAGCCTCGCTAGTGTCTAGACTAGCCTAGAGCATAACGTTGCAGGTATTTAAAATGGGAATAATGATAAAAAATTATGTATATCATATATGTGTGCTTAAGTTATTACTGTGGTTTTACATACATATTTGTATTCTAGGTTACAAGAAGTACGTTGTTGATCGCAAAACCCCCCGCTCTTGACAGAGAATCAAATTTCGTTCAATCCAAAATGACAAAATTGCAAAATCGATCGCCGATTTATACTACTTGTACGACTATTTGATGTGCAGTGATGCATTCAACACAAAATTCCAGATGCATACTTTAATAATATATCATCCAGAGGGATCGATTTGAAGCATTACCTTCGGAAATAGGCATTTTCTTTAATCTTGCACGGCTAACAAAAAATTCATGAGGCCGCCATCTTTGTTATAACCGGAGTTCACTCATTCGTGACTCTCCGGTAATTTCCGTTAGCGACAATCGCGCTTTGCGGGGCTGTTCAAAGCTCTCAGGAGTTGGGCTTAGTTACTGACGTTTATACTGTATATCTACGGTAAAAAAAATAAAAAAAATATAAAACAACTAGATCTAACGCATTTATAAACGAGGGTAGAATCATTTTCTGTCAATATTGCAATATTGTCGTGGGCCTGTAATGGAGTGATCACAAAGTTCATTTGAATGGAATTGGAATGAAATTCGGTTTGACGACATATAGGCCTACTTCGGTCATTTTGAGACAAACATTCTTAATTCTTTTTATGGTTACGTGTGCAATGCACGAGGGATGTTGTTATTATTGTTGCCAGAGGATTAGTGTGTGGGACTTGCAGCTGTTGCGTCCCCCTTGAGTTTTTGTGCCCGCTCGCAAATGAAAAAAAAAAAAAAAAAAAAAAAAAATCCCGCGGTTTCAACATTATAATCATAATGCTTAACCAGTGTCAAACATATACATGGGTCAGATATGCTACAAATCGACTCTAGCATATTCCACACAACCCTATATTAGCCGACACATGGATTTGGACTGCCATCGATCGTGTTCTCGCGCAATCACTGTCTTTGAAATTTTTGACATTTTTATACGCTAAAATTTAATGTAGACATATCATATTTCTTGAGGCCACGTTCGTAGCACACTGCATGGTGCCATCGGTGCAGAAAAAAAAAAAATATGTCGTTATCCCTTTCGCTTCATTTCTATCGAATGTCATAATTATTTCAAATTTCAGAGTTATCTCCCTTTTTACATTATTGCCGTAAAGTCTAAAAGTTAAGGTCCACTGCATATTTGGTCATAGGTCGCGAGATGCAAATAGGATTAGGGCACGTGAGTGTTGACAAGACTGTAGCTTAGCGCTAGCCCTGTTTACATCTCGTCAGGGGCGCAGATCCCCCCAAAATAGTGGTGGGGACAGTCCATGCGCGGGCGACTATTGGTAAAGAGGGGCTAGACGCTCTAAAACGCACTCTGTGGGTATTTTCAGCATCATTTTCTGGCAAACATTACTAATCCCTGAGGCAGCAAATGATACGAAATCTAATCTAAAGACAAATCTTCAAGCCACCGTTCACGATTTATTCTCTCATGTACACTACAACAACTAGAAATATTTACACTACTGAGATTCCAGCTCCACCTCCATTCCCAGTAGTGTCCGAAGACTACGTAAAGTCTTTGAGCAAAATGTGTATTTAATTGAATACACAAATGTACAGGCCTCCAAATCTTTACGACGCAGTGTAGATCCTAATAATAATTTAAAGAATATTTTCTTTAGAAATTTATAAGTGTTCATACAGGGTGGGGCCCGTAGACTGGAAGCAAGGTGGGCGGCTTGGTTTGTGAAACAAAAGGACCCACTATATAACCGAACGCCGCTGGCTTTTACAATTTTTTGAATTTTTATTACAAAATGGTGTCTAAATATGCATTCTCAGCGATTCTGAGGAGTTTTTACCAATAACAAAATAGTTCAGAGAGCAATTTTTTAATCGAAAACAAAAACATTCAATAAAGCGTTTAATATATTTAAAACTAAAAAACAGTACACTTATATCCACTCAGCCCGTTTATTTTCCCTTTGTCTTCTTTCTGGACGGCCCATGACAGGTTTTAAAAAATGTCTTTTCCGATAAATTTCCTAAATTTCTAAACCATCTTCAAAACAGCAAAAAAAAAAAAAAAAAAAAAAAAAAAAAAAAAAAAATCAATTACTTATAATAATAAGTACACGATTCTTGGCTCAGCTTACTGTACTCCAAAAAATAGGGGTCTGAGTCTTAAATTTTAGATTTAATTGCCTATATTCCACAGAGAGAGAGATAGAAACCAGTCTTTAAAAATACGTTTATTTAGTATGACAGCAAATCTAGCAATGAAGGGTTCCCCTGATATACAAACTAAATCCTTTAGTTAGGTGATTTATAATCCAGTATACCAGATAAAAACAAAATCTCAGCTATTCCTTAACCCTTTAATACCCAGCGTATCAGATATGCACACCTACATGATATACATATTATTATAATCCCTATGGAATATTTTAATTATTTACTGTTATTATATGAATTATCACTTATTCCCTGTTAAATAAAAATCGGTCACCGGGTGCAGCTGTACAACTTCAAGGGAGCCACAGTGGCTAGATGGTTAAGACGCTGGCTCTCTAGCCTGGAGGTCGGGTGTTCGATCCTTGCATTGGCCGAGAAAGTTCATCTGGATTTTCCGACGTGGTTTCCCCTTGTCAGTGGTGCAGAACTGCGGGCCTGACAAGGACAGCTATCTAGTCGTTCGGATGAGACGAAAAGCCGAGGTCCCGTGTATACATTGGAATGCGCGTAAAAGATCCCTTGGCAGTTGGAATTCGATATAAGAGTAGGCGATAGTGCCGCTGCCCGGGCAAAATTTCCCTCATAGTACACTGTATGGCGTATGCCCGTCTTCATTAGCCCAGTATAGGAACAGAACAGTAGGACGTTAAACCTCATTTCATTTCATTTGTACAACTTCAAGGACCCTGGCCTCAAGTGCCTGGGACCAACTCTACATTTTCTGAAATGTCAATAAAAGCACTGGATCCAATGATTTCAATTTAAAAAAATAAACAGTAAGCCTGAACTTTTAGATTTTACCCATTGTTGGCGGAGATATCGGTATAATTTTCTGCAACTCATTGAAACTTTTTAAGGACGCTAAACTCCATTGCATTTCAATTTTAATAGCCCGGGAGCGTATACTATAGACTTATGCCTTTTGATCTGGAATATTGGGTATGATGAGGTTCGATCCCGGTATTGGACAGGTAAGTACCTCGGTTATTTCCGGCGTGGTTTCCGCTTGTCAGTGCGATGATAAAAACATTTTGCGGAATAATCTTTTCTGGCTTTTAAATTGTTAAGCCTTAGAACCTAGTAAAGGACAAAAGACCCAACCAGATATGTTATTCAAGTATGGGAATTTAAAAATTGTCGATAGCATTAAAACGAACCAAGGGAAGATGCCTGACTAGAAATGTCACTTTACCCTAGCAAATAGCAGCAATGGCTATCGAGGGCTATCGAGCTGACAGTTTTGGCATTTTGAATTCAACCACAGTTGAACGAACCAATAGACCGTAGGCTCAGTCAGGGGGGGGGGGGGGGTGTCCATCAAATGGGCACAAAACCAGACCCAACTTTTCTAGAGTAAAATTTTGCGTAGAATACAATGCCGAGTGGTAATCAGTCCGCCGTTGGGGCGTTTTCGAGATATTCGGGGGTCAAAGGTCAAATGAGGTCATTTGCACTGAAAGTGAATGCGCAGCGATTCATCATGAAAACATGCTGAAAATGAACGAAGGTAATCATTGTTTCAATAAAAATGTAAAGTTGCTAAATTCACCTTTGTTCTTTGTTTAAACAAAACAATTAATCCGTTTTAACGAAAACATTTATTAGTTTAAACTAAATAATTAATTCGCTTAAACTAAGTAATTAATTCAGGTTCCGTAGTTGTATTTAAACGGAATAATTAATCCGTTTTAACGAAATCATTTATTCGTTTAAATTAATTTATTTAATTCGGGTTCCGTAGTTCTGTTTAAACGAAATAATTAATTAGTTTAAACGAAATATCATTCGCCATGGCGAAATACTAAATCGTTATAACAAAATGTTATCGTTTATAACAAATTAGTTATTTAGTTATAACGAATTATTTAGTACGTTTAAACGAAATAATTATTTCGTTAAAACGAAATAAAAAATGCGTTTCATATTTGCACCCCTTTCGCTTAATCTCTGTCCAAAAAAAAAAAAAACCCTTTAAAGTTCTTATATTCAATTTCTTATATTTGAACAGTAGGACGTTAAACCCAATTTCAATTCATTTAATTTTTCCTATATTTAAATAAGGATGTTTAGTGATTTCTGGGGTTTAACTCGAACTGTTGATTTTGCAAAACAAATATAATATTTGTTATAATCTAGACATGTTCTGTTATCAAAGCGATAGTCGATAAAATATATTTTAAAAACAACTCCTTGTCATTTAAAATCATAGTTCCTATCAAACGCAGACGATACCTATCAAATTGACATACACAAACATACACGGCCATATGTCAGTTTCCATGGTAACCAATAGTTCCGCAGCGGCAAGAAGAACACGAGTGCGTTGGAGAGAAGAAGGTTATACTTTCATAAGACGCCTGAAAGTAGTTTCGTTGGAAGTCAGAAACTTGGAGATTAAAGAATTCACAGAAAAGTTTACAAAAGTGCATCTTGACTCGGGAATCAGGATGAGGTGAGCGATAAGTTTATATTTTTATAGAAGGTTTGATTTGATGTGGTCTGGTAAAACAGTCGACGAAGTTATATTCTTGTCTTCATGGTATTTTAAACCCCTTGTGTTATGTATAACACCAGAAATAAACTTCGCGATTACAGTGTAATTTGATATGAAGAGCTCGTGTCGCTGAACCAGAGTATTCTCGCATGTTACTCACATTTTATTTCACGTTAAATTTTAGTAAATGTCTCAGTCAGGTGGATTTTATAAAGTTGAAACGGTGATAAATATATTCACCACGGTTACAAGTTATCTAAATGGCATTAGGTTTAATCATTGTCAAATGTGGCTCATTAGAACACGATCAAAATCGTTGTACACGTAGCCTACATGTATACTGTATCATCGGGTACATCTCTTTTTGTATTGGGGTGGAGGGGATGGAGGGGATGGATGGGTGGGTGGATGGGTGGGGGGGATTGACTCGGGTTTTTCTGGCGTAGTTCCCCTTATTGTATGGTGTAGGACGGAGGACCTGACAAGAAACATAGCGTCTAGTCATTCGGATGGTACGAACAATGAACCGATCGAGGTCCTATAAATACTTTGGTGTGCACGCAAAAGACACGTTGACAGCTAGCCGAGTTGGTGCAGAAAATTCAGCATAGCGATGCGAAACCGGGGTCCCGAGGTCTTGTCCCCGGGCTAATTTTTAAACTATGGCGTCTAGGAAGCAATTGTTATCTCGAAATGATAATACTACCATGTTGCAGGGAACATCGTGGATCCCCCAGTTGTAATTGTGCGATAAGCATTGCACCTGTTCTTAAAACAATGCTTTCCATTTGTTCTTTATCAAATTTCCTAAAGTTCAAGACCAATTTGTACATAAAAGAATAAAATATACTTGAAATTAGTGCAAATGGGGCTAGGATGATTTAAAATGAAACGTCAAAGTTTTATGACAGTGGGCCGTGATCTGATTAATCGCTCTTTCACTTAATTAATGGACATAATTTGAGACAGTGGTGAAGTTTTATAGTTAAGTTTAATTTAGTTTTATTGTAATGTAAAATTACATTTTAAAGAATTTAAGGTTCCCCGTCTCCCCTTCGGGCTTCTCTCACACACCTTTACCCCCACCAAAGACACATCCCACCCACACCATCCCCAGGTTACGAAACTTGATTACACAACTCGAAACAATTTTTATGGCATTTTCCAGATTGGAAAAGAAATTGTACTTTAAATTTCGAATTTTTATCAGTTGAAGTTAGTTTCATCTCGAGGTCGAGTGGGAGCCACGGTGGTTAGATGAGTAGGACTCTGACCCGCTAACCTGGAGGTTTCGTGTTCGATCCCTGCATTGGACGAGATAGTTAATCTGGATTTTCCGGCGTGGTTCCCACTTGTCAGTGCCTGGCAAAGGATGGGACAAAATATCGAGTTCCCGTGTACGCATTAGAGTGCACGTAAAAGATCCCTTGACAGTTGGAATCCGATAGTGAAGGCCGTAGCACCACAGTCCGGGCAATATTTCCCTCAAAGCACACTGTATGGCGTATGCCCGTCTTCATTAGCCAAGTCAGAGCAGAGCATGTGGGACATTAAACCCCTTTTCATTTCATTTCTCGCGGTCGAGTAGTGTGTGTGAATTCGTAGTACTGTGGTTGGGAGTGGGGGAGAGTGTGTGTGTGTGTGTGTGGGGGGGGGGGGTCGTATTACAAGCAGGATACTATTTTATAACAAACAAAATAGATAATGCCCGAGATCAGCTTAGAATAATTAAATAAGTCAAGAGGTTAAACCTTTATAGATAACAGCTGTGGTCAAATATATATTATGCAATGGATTATAAATCTCTAGTAAAAACATATGGACATTTAGTTAAATCTGGGTAGATAAGAGTTTTACGTTTATACGATCAAATTGAATCAAACAACAAAGAGAATTTAGAGAAAGAGTTTTCGAGGAATGGAGGTTGGTGGTGGTAACCCGGTTCTTTGTTCGATTCTTTTATATGGGACAACAATCACTGGTTAATTATCATGTTATCGTTATTTGTCCTGCACCATTACCCAAAAAACCCACAGGACAATCCCGAGTACATTTCTCGGCCAATACCGAATCGAACTTGGGTCCCCAGATTGTGCGCCATCAATTGATACTGGTAGGATAGTGCAAGGTAAAGCTAATGTAGCACTAAAATTAAGAATATCCCAGTATGTTCTGAGAAGGTTAGCCTCAATGGATTGTGAGCCATAGAGCAACTTGATTTGTATGCTGTTGTGGGTGGATGTAATAATGCAATAAAGCTGGATATAAGACCTCCACCTCCACCCACCCACCCCCAGTCCCCGACCCCTCCTACGCTCTCGAGATGTCTGTTGAAAAATGATATCTGTTTTAATCAAATTGCATGATCAATTGCAAGATCAATATTTTCCAATTATATTGGACAAAATGTCTGTGAGTGATTGGACTAGACCTACTTATTTGTTAATTATTTAGTCCAGACGTTATGACAACTGTATCTTAAATTACCATATTTTATTCTACCATCACGAACATGGTTAATTACCGCAGTAATACTATATCTTGGTTAACTGGCACTTACTAATTGACAAGCATAAAATAAATAAAGATAACTATCCGAGAGCGTGAAAGAGAAAGGGAGGGGGGGGGGTACAGTCAACTAGACACAAACTTGGGGGTGGGGGGGGCTGGGGTGAGAGTTGGATTTGAAATGGCTTTAACGTCCTACTGTTCTGCTATCTTGCCTCAAGAGAAAAAGAGAGGGATGTGAAATGGGTTTAACGTCCTTTTAACGTCCTACTGTTCAGCAACCTCGAGTAAGAGATAGTAGAGGGGGAGGGGCGTACTGCTGTCCACTCGACAGAAACTAGGTCATATTTCGGGAGAGCGAGAGATAGGGTTTGCTGTCCATTCGAAACAAACTAGGTCATTTTGGAACTAACATATGGTTCACGTATTTTCAATGATTCGCTTGCCCGTGAGGGTCTTTGGCAGTGGGAGGAATCAGGTGGACCGGGAGAAAACCTACGAGGTTGGACAAGCGAACCTACTCTTTGTCATACACAATCGAAACCCCGTCACTTGAGTCAATGACAGACCTTATGATTTAATGCGTTAAACCATTCGGCCAACCAACCTCCCCTTGTCTTAATTAACAGGAACATCCGAGATATCTTACTTAGTCCCATAATTTTATGTCATCTTTACCGGATTACCGCTAGCGGGCCTCGTTAGTTATGTCTTAAATAAATGTCCCGGGTTGAAATCAGAATGGGTTTAATCAATTGAATTGTGATTTTACGTCCGACTGGGCTAATGGAGACTGGCTTGCGCCATAGGCTTACAGTGTCAAGGGATCTGTAACGTACATGTCAATGTGTGCATTTGAACTTGTTTTTTTTAACCCATCCGAACGCCTAGACAACTGTTCTGGACAGGCCCTCCATCCTGTACCACTGGTAAGGGAAAGCCGCGCTGGAAAATCCGGAGGGACTTTCTAGGCTAACACCGGGAGCGAGCCAGCGTCTTACTCATGGAGCTATCACGGTTGAAGTGCATTCTTGATTGTTCAAGTCTGGATCTCGCTTAAACAGTCTGATTAAAATACAGATTGCCACTTGCTAGTGATGGTGTCCGTGGTGACTGTGGAAATAACTAAGAACGCTTGTCTACTTGTTAGGATATGACGAATAGTCATGGCCCTGTGTAGACCCACACCCCACACGTGCACAATTTTACCCCTGCATAGCCAGGGTAGGCCATTGGGAATCAGATCGGGGGCTCTGCGACAAGAATACCGGTCAGGCCGACGTAAAGCTAAATAAATATATATTTCTGGGCCACCAGGGGCTTCACGGGCAACGGAGCGATGTACTGTCTACACCCATCTCCTTGGGCCTGTCTGCTTATAAATTGGCAGCACACCTAAAAAAATCACTTCGCAGTCGAAGTCGAAGAAGTGCAGGCGGAAACGCCGCTGTCCAGACAAAATTATCCTTATGAGAATACACGCGTAACTCTTTACATGCGCCAATGGTTAAGGGGTTTAACTCAATTATGGATTATTTCCTAAAGACATACGTCATTGGTCAGGGAAATGGAGGGCTAGGGGAACCACGAAATGTTTAAATGACCTAAATTGTTAGTAAAGAAAGGAGAGGGCGACGTTGGGTAGGGCAAATGGGACGGGACATCTGTTATATACCTATTTGTCAAGACACAAATAGGGAACCCGATCGCCAATGACAGACTGCATTAATTATTCTTTCTTATTTTTCAGGAAAAGTCACGTGAAACTGAAGAAGGTAGCAATTTTATTATTTGGCGTAGTTATGACGTCATCATTCTTTGCTCATTGGATAACCAGAAAAATCCACATTCCGCAATATATTCACGATTCCAAGCAAGAGACGGGCGATTTTCTGGTCGAAACCGAAGCTTGTCGTATTCCCGACTTGGATCCGTTTGATTCGTCGATAGAAGAACATATTCGATTGGCCAAAGGTATCCAGTGCTTTGCTAAACCCTCCATTACGTTTCAAGATGGCGATATGCTGCGATTAAATTGGACGACTATTTATCAGTCTTACAAAGGTGATTTCTCGCATTGCAAATATCAGGGTATCAGGCGAGGAGAAAAAATGTCAGACGAACATTTCATCTACACAGATTTAAGCGAAGAGTTTCACGCAGATGTTAAAATGTCGGAAGAATTTATTCGTGTATATTGTTTCAGTACTTCCGGAGGAAAAATTTACACAAATTTTCATGCGTTGATAATTCCCAATCCTACGAGACTAGAAGAATTGAAGAAACGTCTTAGACGACACGTCAACACACGGAAATCGCGGGAAACCTTAAACGTTGTTATGATTGGTGTCGATTCTGTTTCGAGATTAAATAATGTTCGGAATATGCCTAAAACACGCGACTACCTATTACGTCATCTGGATGCTATAGAATTACAAGGTTATACCAAAGTCGCTGATAATACTTTTGTTAATATCGTTCCCATGACAACCGGACAGTTTGTAGAGGAGTTGCCATGGAATGAAACAAAACGCATGGAACCGTTTGACAAATACAATTTTATTTGGAAGAACTTCGCTTCCAATGGTTACAGTACAATGTACGCCGAAGACGCCCCGAAAATGGCCATTTTTACCTATCTAAAAAAAGGGTTTCATAATCCCCCTGCAGACTATTACAACCGCCCCTTTTCAGTTGCCATGGAAAAACATCCTTCTGTGTGGAATCACGGGCACCAGTGCGTTGGTGATCGCTTAGAAACCGACATTTTGTTAGACTATTCACGCGATTTCGCTAAAATGAACAAAAATCATCCTTATTTTGCTTTTGCATTTATAACGCGGCTAACCCATGACGTCCTGTCAAACGCTGGATTAGCAGACGATGTTTATTACAAAAGGTTAGGACAGTTTTATAAAGATGGCCTCTTCAATAACAGTGTAGTAATACTTTTTAGTGACCATGGACAACGGTTTGGCAGTTTCAGAGAATCGTATATTGGAAAACTTGAAGAACGACTTCCGATGATGTTTTTAATTTTTCCAAAATGGTTTTATAAAAAATATCCCCAAATAACAAAAAATTTAAAAATAAACCAAAATCGATTAACGACACCCTTTGATATTTACGAAACTTTAAAAGATATTTTATATTTTACTGGTGACGTCAAAGGTGACGTGGATGTTAAACAAAGGGGGATAAGTCTGTTTGAAGAAATTCCGACATCCAGATCATGTGATCATGCCGGTATCTTACCTCATTGGTGCGTGTGTATGATGCAGGAACAACTTCCGGTAGACCATAGATTTTCTAGACTCAGTGTAAAATATTTAATTTCAGAAATTAATAGGCAAATATTCCATTATCGCGATCTATGTGCGCGGTTAGTTTTAGGGCACATCAAATCTGTACATATTTTAAAAAATAATGACCAGCTATTGAGGTTCGATCACAGTAGTAATGACGTCATCAACAGGACTGTTGTCTATGGAAAAAGAACGAGCATGGTTACCTTGTTTCAAGTGGCAGTGGTTCTTGTGCCAGGGGCTAGTGTGTTCGAGGCTACAATAAAATATGATGAAATGACGCGCATGTTTAGTCCAGCTGGTGATGTAAGTAGGATCAATCGCTATGGTAACCAAGGTGATTGTATAGACGAATCTCATCTTAGGAAATATTGCTTTTGTTTTGTATAAAAATTATTTGTTTGTATAACTGTGCTGTGTTCTGGTTTTGCCTTGTCATCTTGCAATATCGCAATTACTCATTAAATTGAATTCATTATTCATACAACAAAACCATTGAAGAACAATCTCATCTCTGAGATGTGGAAATCATTGTAGCCACGGTAAAAACAATCTTATGGTATCATGTTTATCCGCAACGTAGCACCGACTACTATGGGGGTACTCGAATGAACGTTCCGGAATTGAATTCTCACAATCCCAAAAATAGTGACAATCGAGTGAAAAGCGGTATTTCGGGCTACAACGCATGCGTCGACTGGATAAGTAAATATCTCAACCAACCATGCAGCCGAAACATATTTGTTGTGTTTAATTACGTCACGATTCTACTCACACCACCTTCGTAGTCCGGACTGACAGAACTGAATTTCGCGTCACTCGATTGTAATTCTGTCAATTCGGGACGTTCTGGACTGTGAATCAAGCATCCCCAATGAGTTCAAACAGTACTTTGTGGCTACCCGTCCGATTAGGTTACTATAGTTATAACTTGTTGCCAGGAGGAACGCGTTACATTGTAGCGAGAATGGGCCCAGAAGGTCCCATTAGACACCGTGTTTCATAAGACAGGACTGTTCCTTTAACTACGCCGATAGGGGATTGCGAATTTTTTCGGTCCTCAAATTCTTAACCTATGATGGACTTGCCCCTCAACACGACTGGCTCCGCTTACAAAAGAATGTGACGGACAGTGCTCAGAACATGCCCCCCCCCCCTTTTCACTGTTAATGCACGGTCCCAGTGACATTTTCATCCAGGGACACCATGCAAGCTCAATCCTTCTCTGTGTATCGTGTGTTCTAGAAAGAACAAGCCTCGCACAAGACTGTCGTCTATAGTCTATCTAGGAAGATCGTGGTGGTCGAGCTGTTAAAGTCCAAATACTTGCGTGGGTCGAGAAGAAAATCTAGATTTTCAAGTAATTGGGTTTGACAATGAATGTGTAGCCTATTCGTTTAGATTAACAACGGACATGACAAACAGTTTCAAAATAACCGACGTACAGCGGCGGATCCAGGAATTTTTGCTGGAGGGGGTTTGCCAGGTTCCGGAGTCAATGTATCTCTACCCCACCCCCCTCCCGCATGGTCTCCATCGTCATTTTGGCGTATATACATATACAATGAGCTTTTTAAACAGAGAAATTCAACACTTCGTTTGACGTCAATTTTTATTATGAATTAATACAATGACATTGTGATTCAATTTCATGGATGCAAAGCCTTAATTATTGTGATATCCTGTACCACATCTGACGATAAAGGATAAAGCACACGCCGAGAAAATTTTCTCATAAAAAGTGTTGATTTACAAACAAATTTATGTAGCTGAGCAGGGAGGGGGGGGCGCTCTGGATCCGCCCCTGCGTATTGTGTTGATGGAACGATGGATTGGATCACCTTCCATGGAGTTTTATAAATATTCCGTCTAAGTCTACAATCGTGTGTTCCTACTAAAAACGCCAGCATCGTTGTGTAGTTTGGTGTGTCGGAAATGTGGACTCGATTTTTCATGAATTCTCCCATCTTAGTTTATCAACAAATCGATAAATTTGAAATTTACGTCAAAATTATTGTATACAAAACTGATACAAGGGAAACAACTCGTATTGTAATATGGATTCAGACTAGTAATGTAGTCAGAGTTATAAATAGACAATTTTTCCTTTAATTTTGTTCTACCCTTTTCCTGCATTTTTTGGTTGACTTTTTGGTCTAGAATTAGAGAAAAGGGATCAATTTGCAATTTCATAGCAGTTTTGGGTAATACTGACGATATTACAGCGGAGGGATAGGGGGTGTAAAGTGTCTTTCTGCAGGGCAATCATTGAATCGGAAGTGAGATTTTGAGCCCAGTCAACATCAAATCCTCGCAGCAAAGAATCTAAACGGTCAACCGACTACAAAATTATGATGAGATTGCCAAATGTGGCCCCCTGTGTACCTATAAAGATTGGAACCAATGGAATGTTGAGCAAAAAGCTACAGCCATTTAACATTAAGTCAATGAGCAAAAAATTGCTAGTCCGAGTCCATAAGTTCACAAGAACTAGTATTTGGCCACAGATCACTAATGATTTCCCCATTGACTTTAATGTTAATTCTCCTTTCTTAGATCGGCTCTAACGTTTTCCAAAATATTCGTTTGGTAGAACGCTTTCTACCACAGATGGAGCAGAATGTGGCAACTTCTTGCCCAAAAGCACGAACGAGGTTCACCATAGAAAACATGATACACAAACTTGAAGTAACTACAAAAAAACCTGCAATTTTTCGAGCTACATTTCAACTTAGCCAACCTCTCAACTTTCGTATCCTTCCCCCTCAAAATGATGAATATTCACCAAAACCTGGCAGAAAATGTATTTTTAAACCCTTTTCTTCGATTCTACACCAAAAGTCAACAACAACTTTCGCTGTTAGCTGTGTCCATTTCACATTGACTGCACTGCTAAACCCATGATTTATTTGTTGTTCATCAGCGTGTACGATAGATAGTGTTTGTCACAAAATTGGACCTTTGGTTCTTTTTTAGGGCGGATTGACGGTCATGTACTTAACAAAACCACAGTATAATTTAAATATCTTTATAACTACAATACCATATTAATACAATTATAATATAAATACATGTAATTATTCTCTAATGAGTTCATTATATCACTGATTGAAACAGCACGAAGAATCACGTTTCTACGTTGATGAAATGACGATGAGTTGGTGGTAAACGCGCGCACAGCAGTCACTAGACTAAATTTAACTCTCCGCAGCACATTTAAGAAGATAATTAAGATAAGGTTGATGAATTATTCATGTAGATCTTTTAATCGCGATAAAATAAATAACTGGAACAGTAACTACCAGATTATCAATTTAGATAACACCATCCTTAGCACATTAACATTATCAGAAACAGAAACAGGTCACAAGTAAATGTACTAATTCCTACTTATTAATCACACAGATTACCATTATAAAGACACACAGTCCAAATCAACGAGACACACAGTCTAACACCCATTTAGTTGAAATATCTATAGGAATGATTCATGAATAATGATCAATGAATACGTGTGATTCTTCCAAAATCCATCATTAGAGTGACTATATAAATTCATATCTCCCACCACGTAAACTACAGTTTCACTCACAACCAATCAAACCACGACAACGAAACAGGCAGTCCACGTGCATTCAATGCAATCATAACTGCAACCAGACACGTGAATTACTCAACCTTGGCAAATATTAACTTTCACACATCTTACAAATAAACAATAAAATCAAATGTTTATTTGGTACGTCAACGGCAAACTAATATTGTAAACTATCTTTGTCTAATAAAGATATTGTCATACGTGACAGTGGTTAGATAGACGGAATAGTTCTCTATCATTTGCTATTTATTGTGGTTGAATTTTTTTTATTAAACTATTCATTTCGTGTACAACAGAGTAGAATATATCGCACTTCGGACGATATTTACAAATGATTATGTGATAATTACGTAATTTGAATGATTGATAGAGGTCATCGATGGGGTTGTACTGTTTATATGAATGTGCGTTTGAATGGTTTGGGGTCCGCGAATTTTTTTTTATCTTCACCGTGCATGGCACCCGACATGCGTCACCCACCCCATGTCCTTTTCGTCGTTGTCCCGTTCCATAGATCAACAAATGTCTTAAAATGCCTCCAGTCACAATACAGTTAATTATATACTCTTAAAAGAAGTAGGGGATATTCAGAAACAATACAAAACTGCGGAACTACACTGTTGTTTTTATTAAAGGTAACTAGTGTATGTCAATAACAGGCCAATCGTACACATGAACATAAACAGTTCATATGGGCGGCTTATCTGACGGCACCATTTCTCTCGCAAAGAGATACACTGTCAAAAGTGAAAATTGAGGTTTTTGATTTCTGTCATTGGTGCCAGTCATTATACATATGTGATAGAACTGGTTAAACACGTTCCAAATATACTGAGCGCCATGGGAAACGCATCACTTTTTTTCCCCAAATATTTTATTACTAGGAGGTTTTGTATGTATAATATTATGCAATACTATGAACTATTGTTTCACACAATACTCCAAAACGCAAAAAATATCGGCCCGTGTGCAAAGAAAAAAAAAAAAATTGCACGAGATGCACATGAAAACCCAATATTCACGCGCAGCATTGTGTGTGAGCCCTTTAAAAGCATGTTTTCAACTTAATGTGCAGTACATGAACTGTGAAACGTCAATCTGTCGTAATTTGTTGTTGGACGTGTGAAGGAATCGAGCTAGAGATGCCGAGACTTACTGAAAATCAACGGAATGAAGCAATGGGAATGTCCAGGGCTGGCATGTCTACACGTGCTATTGCCAGACACTTCAATTGTCATCAGTCCACTATTGTAAGGTTGGTGGAACGTTTTCGAGTTACTGGATCAACACGTGACCGTCAACGTCCTGGTCCACCACGCGTTACAACCCAGGCTCAAGACCGCTACATCCGGGTCACTCATCTGCGTGACAGATTCCGCCCAGCGACTCGAACAGGTGCAGCAGTCGTCGGAAGGCAAGGACCAGTAAGTGCCAACACCGTAAGACGTCGTCTAAGAGAAGTAGGACTCCGTGCACGACGACCTTATGTTGGAGCTATCCTCAGGGATCATCACCGTCAGCGGCGTTTGATATGGGCTCAAGGTCACCAGACACGGAGAAGAGTAGACTGGCAAAGTCTGCTCTTCAGTCGCTTTCATCTTATCACGCTGATGGCCGTCAACGTGTGTGGGAACGTCTTGCAGACTGCTGCGTCTTCGAGACGAATCGATGGGGTGGGGGAAGTGTAATGGTGTGGGGAGGCTTCACATTTCATCACCGGACCACCCTACACATTTGCAGTGGGTCGCGTTAATGCTGTAGCCTACCGTGATGATGTCTTGCAACCAATTGTTGTTCCGATGTTTCGAGCGCACCCACAACTTCAGCACTTCCAACAGGATAATACAGGTCCGCATACCGCCCGTTTTAGTATGAACTACATGGCTGCTAACAACATCAATGTCTTGGACTGAGCCAGCCATGTCTCCGGACATGGTACCGATAGAATATGTCTGGAATGAGATTGGACGCCGATGTATCGGAGACCACAGATGTACATCATTGCCCCAGGCCTTCTTTCAAACATTGGTAAATTCCATGCGACGTCGCTGCACAGCGTGCGTAAGAGCCCGTGGAAGACACACGCGCTACTGACATCTGTGTCGTACTTTTGGTTTTGACCCCTTTGACTTTGTACCGTTGATTACAGATTAAACATCCATAAGTGTACAAATGTGTTATTATTGACTTGTTCCCATTTGAATATTTTTCACAATAAGCAAAATAAATAAGATGTGTTTACAGGATCATTTTGTTAAACGAAAAACTAAGTGATGCGTTTTCAATGGAGCTCAGTAACTGTAGGTGCTCCGGTGTTCTAAAACTGGAATGACAGTATCTATCACAATGCCATGTTGTTGCAAAACAGAATTGAAACCAATTGCAAAATATACTTTATAAACAGTTCGGAAATTGGAAATTGGGTTGGGTGGGTCCTTGTATATTTACAGTTCGGATGGAGCATGTAAGGAAGAGATAGGTCATTTAACCCAGGGAAATGTGCTGTTACTTCTTTACCACCTTCAATAGAAAGGTTGATCTCGCTTTAACTATGTACATCGTATTGGAAATATCGCGGTCGTTTCTTCAAGAACATGCTTCTTTACTAACAACCAAAATTATTTATCAACTGAAGAAATTAATTAATGACAAATACCAAAACTTTGACCAAACAAAACCCTATGTTATATTTCACCTGTTGCTTTTAACGAATCGTTCTGAATTCCGCCACATAAATAAAATAATACAGATAGTCAAATGAGAACGAGTTTATAAGTCCTAAAGATAGGTTCCCAGAAAAGTATTTATCGGGTGGTTATTGCCTATAAAAGTATGACAATTTTGGTATATTATATGGAAAATAGATATCCAATCTTACTAGAAAAATACTGGATTCCCTGAAAAACACTCATGGAACGTATGCAGGACACAAATGGGCACAAAACCAGACCAGTAAAATCTTACGTAGAATACGATGCCGAGTGATAATCAGTCCGGGTTTTCGAGGTATTCCGGGGTCAAAGGTAAAATGAGTTCATTTGCACTGAAAGTCAATGCGCAGCCTTTGTTGTATCATGAAAATATGCTGAAAATGATCGGAAGTAATCACTCTTTCAATAAAAAATGTAAATTTGCTAAATTTAGTCGCCTGTCCAACCTCGTGGGTTTTCTCGGGGTCCTCCGGTTTCCTCCCACTGCTAAAGACCCCTACGCGCAAGCGAATTATGTAAATAAAATTAAACCATATGTTAGTCCCGAAATGACCTAGTTTGTGTCGAGTGGACGTTAAACCCCGTTTCTCTCTCTCTCTCTTGCTAAATTTACCTTTGTTCTTAGTAACACCGGAGGTCAAACGGTCAAATGTTCCGTTTTTGCACTAGGAAGAATTAAAGCAATAAATGTCAGCGTTAAATATAATTTTTTTTATTGGTGTAAATATTCCTAGTGCAAAAATGGAACATTTGACCTTTCAACACCGGAGTCACAAAGAACAAAGTGGAATTTAGCAAGTTTACATTTTTATTGAAAGGGGGATTACTTTCGATCATTTTCAGCTTATTTTCATGATACATGAATGGATGCGCATTCACTTTCAGTGCAATTACCACTGATTACCACTCGGCATCATATTCTATGCAAAATTTTACTATAGAAAAGTTGGGTCTGGTTTTGTGCCCATTTGATGGACACCCCACCCCGCACTGACCCTGAAGACCTGTGACCTCGTTGACCAATCAGAGTGTCTTGGCCAGTATTTTCAGGGGGGGGGGACGAATAGGTCTCTGTCCCCCCCCCCCCATGATTTTGATCGCCAGGACAGATTTTCAGGTTTATATCCACATGATGGTGAGCTTGTTTCTACGTATCTGGAACTGAATCGCGATTTGGAACAAGAATTGCCATTCTTCAAGCGCCAGTTTTCGGCAAAATCTATTTCATTTGTGCACGAAGCGTTCCTCATTATGTCACCTGAAGTGAGGCTGACGTTCCCTTCTGTCGAAGCTCTTCTCATCTCACACTGCTGAACCCTGTTAGTTCCTGCTCAGCCGAGCGATCCTTCAGCACTCTGCGCCGTATCAAAACTTGGCTGCGCAACTCCATGACGCAAAACCGACTGAGCCACTTGATGGCGTGTGCGGTGCATAATGACCCCCTTCATGTCGCCAAGATATTCAAAGAGAACAGTCCTGATCGTAGAACGAACGTCTTTGGACGATTCACTTAACTTCATGAACAATTAATATTTATGCAGCTTCGATGTAGGTATAGTCAATTTTTCCATATTGTCTTCCTGTTACCCCTATTACCCCTTTACTGGTACAGTAAACTGTTCGTAATTATTTATTTCGTTTGGTAATGAAATGTTCCAGATTCCAGGGTTTGTCCCCCCCCCCCCTCAAAAAAAAGTTACGACAAATCCACGCCCTTGTCTGCCTGTAAGGTACAACTAAAAATAAATAGCCATTTATTGTTTTCAATATTTTAATATTTTATTTTTTTTGTCAGCAGGAAACACAATACACATTTAGAACAATTTACGGAGGAATCATCTCCCCATGATTTCAATGTTATCTACAGAAACATAATTTACGAAGCAAATTCCCATGGACACAATCGGAATCATGTCCATATTTGTTTATTCGGCTAATATCCCCGGCCATTGTGAATTTTCTAGTTGTTTCGTCGTACTGGACGGCTGCTTCAAATTCTCCTGATCCGGGCATCAGTGATACTTCTACTTGAAAAATAAATTTTGAATGTACACGTTTTTTATTAAATGACACAATTCTGTTTATAACTTCATTCTTAGTTTTCTTGAACTTCAAAAGTTTGTCGTTGTTTTTTATCATGTGGACCGATTTCGTACGTCCTAATTTTAATGGCCAACATATGTCTGTAACGTTATTTAACACGAATTGTTGATTTATGTAATTTATCAAATAATTTACGCTCATGTTATAAAAATTATCATTGCTAGATAACTCTTGTTGTGACATACAAACACACCAATGTGGTAATATACCAGCATGGTCACATGATCTAGACACAGGGATTTCTTCAAATAGACTTATCCCCCTTTGTTTAACGTCCACATCACCTTTGACAGAACCAGTAAAATGCAAAATATCCTTTAAAGTTTCGTAAATATCAAAAGGTGTCGTCAATCGATTTTGATTTATTTTTAAATTTTGTGTTATTTGGGGATATTTCTTATAAAACCATTTTGGAAAAACAAAAAACATCACCGGCAGCCGTTCTTCCAATTTCCCGATGTAGGTTTGTCGGATCTTTCCAAATCTTATTCCGTGATCACTGAAAAATATCAACACGGTGTTGTTAAGTAGGCCCTGAGTGTGAACATTCCTAAACATGTTTGAATAGGGAATGTCAGCAGAGGCCGCATTCGATATTAAATCGTGTGTTAATCTGCTTAGAAAACTGAAACTAAAGTATGGGAGCCTGTGATATAATTTCATGAAATCTGTCGTGTAATTAAGAACCAGGGTTGTTTCAAATCGATCACCAACACAATGATGGCGCGCCGTCCATACAGAGTTATCTCTCTCTACGGCCAGAGCAAATGGACGATAATAGTGATCGGCAGGTGGAACGTGAAATCCACTTTTAAAATAATTAAAACCGTTAAGCCGAGGATGATCCTCAGCATACAAAGTAGAGTAGCCACTAGAAGAAAAATTCTTCCATATGAAGTTATATTTATCGAAAGGTTCCCTACTTTTATTTTCATCCCATGGCAACTCTTCCGCAAAACGGCCGGTTGTCATGGGAACGATATTAACCATAGTACAATCAGCGACTTTGGTGTAGCCTTGTAACTCTATTGCATCCATGTGACGTAATAGGTAGTCACGCGTTTTAGGCATACTTCTAATATGATTTAATCTCGAAAGAGAATCGACACCAACCATAGCAACGTTTAAAGTTTCCAGCGGTTTTTTCTCTTCCTGGTGCTTACTAAAGCGTGTCTTTAATTGCTGAAGCCTGATTGGTTGTGGTAAGATAAAGGCGTGGTAATTAGAATATATAACACTGTGTGATTTATCATAACATTTAACACGTATAAACTGTTCAGTAACCACAATATCCCTCTTAAATATCGTCACATTCTGTGTATATTGGTATTTATTGTCATCCTTGTTGTTGCCACGGTTTATACCATGATATTCACAATAAGAAAACTGTCCTTTATATTTAGTATTTATCACATCTACGTTTAACCGAACCTTTGGCCTTCTTGAAAGGTCAATGACGTCACACCTCGACATTTGATGAAGTTCTTGTCCTTTACCAAAAATTTAATGGACGAATCGAATGGATCCACATTGGGAATACGGCAAACTTCCGTGTCGACCAGAAAATGGGATTTGACTGTTGGAGAGTGAATTACTCGAGTTTTTAAAATTTGAATGGTAGGCAAGTACATGGACAAAACAACTAGAAGCATCATCAAAATAAAACAGGTCTTCCATTTAGGTGCTCTGCTTAATAACCTGAAACGGTATCAAAATCAAAGTAACACCAGATTCATTCATACAAATATGGATTTAAGACATACCAATTTTTAATGTTAATAATACACGCATTTTTGCGTGTTCTTATGAAATAAATCGTAATTTCTATATTTCGCCCCTTCAGAACGCGAAATTCGAAAAGTCGACAGCACGACATCTGATATCAGTCAAGTATGGTGTGATGGGTGCCAGTTTGTGTTTATAACAGTCAAGTATAGGGCCTGTGGTAAGATTACATTTTTGTTCTGTTAAAGCGGCATTAGGTAAGTTTAGATAAAGAGCTGGCAGTTCTCACTTATAATAGTTATAAAATAGACAATGAATAGTGAATATGCTGACAATTTCAGTCACAAAACGTATTTAAATCTACTTATATCGTAGCCACTCGATGGCATTGAGAGTTGATTATGGTTTTGTTAAGCTAATTTGGTCGATATTTTCGAACGTGGATTAAATCTAATCAGAAATTTTATCTCCGATTTTCTGAAAAATCATATTCCGAAAAGTGGATTAAATTTTAAACTAACATTTTTATAATGTTGATTAGCCTAATCAACGAGTTGACCATTGTTCGAGAATTATATTTATTTCAAAATGGCAAACGCGCAGGTTAACGTTAGCTTCATCTCCAATTGTCGAGTCGGCAGAAATTTACTAGACAATGGCTATAAATACCGAATAAAATCAAGCTGACGTATTAAATGGGACTTTAAGTGTTAATCAATATGGAAATGAAATGGGGTTTAACGTCCTACTGTTCTGCTCCTATACTGGGCTAATGAAGACGGGCGTACGCCATACAGTGTGCTATGAGGGAAATTTTGCCCGGGCAGCGGCACTATCGCCTACTCTTATATCGAATTCCAACTGCCAAGGGATCTTTTACGTGGATTCCAATGTTTACACGGGACCTCGGTTTTTCGTATCATCCGAAGGACTAGACTGATGTCCTTGTCAGGCCCTCCGTCCTGCATCACTGACAAGGGGAAACCACGTCGGAAAATCGGGACGAACTTTCCTCGGCCAATGCAGGGATCGAACACCCGACCTCCAGGCTAGCGAGCCAGCGCCTTACCCACCTAGCCACCGTGGCTCCTAATCAATATGGAACAAATTACTCTATTTAGTTGGGCAGGAGAATGTTATAATGTATAAATTATTGCATTTTATCCTATATATCTGACGCATTTTTGTGTGTAAATTAATTACTGTTATTTAATAATAGCTGGGAAGTTGGATGGCCGAATGGTTAGCGCGCGCTCTATCATAAGGTCTGTCATTGAGTCAACTGGCGTGGTTTCGATTTCCCGGTTCTACGAGTAGGGTCGCCTGTCCAACCTCGTGGGTTTTCTCCGGTTTCCTCCCACGGCTAAAGACCCCTACGCGCAAGCGAATTATTGAAATAAAATTGAACCATATGTCCGTCCCGAAATGACCTGGTTTGTGCCGAGTGGACGTTACCCCCCCCTCTCTCTCTCTCTCTTAATAAAAGCTATATTATCATTTGTTACAATGGGGACATCTCACTGTGCCCCCTGCTATTGTTCTCATGGGGGGATTAATCAAGCAAGGGGATTATCGAATACAATGGTGTTAAAAGTATAGTCTGTTTTTGTAAACTACTAGGTTTAAACTAATTAACAACTTTATTCACAATAAATTTCATAAAAGTAACAACAAATACATGTATCAAACATAAATCATAACCCTACTAAATGTGATATGGCGTCAGTATATTCAATTGCACTTTTTACTCCATTTAACAGTTTGATTTTTAGATCATTAATAGATTCTTCTACTCTTTTATATTTTCGTCTTTTAGGGGGCAATCGTCCCCCGTTATCCAATTTAACTATTGTATTTTCAGTAAAAGTCTGCTGGTGCTGTTGGGTTTCGTATTTTTTACTCTGTACTTATACCCCAAATTAACTAAATTTTGACCTTGAGAATTAGGAATAAACCCTATGCGAACTTGAGCCATTTTAAAAGATATAATGTAATTGGGGGTGACAACTATCCTTATATAATGATAGTGAGTTTCTAATCATATATTTGATTGATTTATGAGTACTGTCTGAATGAAAGGTAGGTGAATAATATTTAAGATACTCGATAACCGATGACACATGAATTTAACTTATATATTTTAATCATTAAAATAATTAAATTTTAACTAGGTGAACAGTATTAATAAGGATACAGTCTATAATCCTTTGTTTACTTAAATTTTCACACCACTACCCTATAACACCAGTTGATTGGGGGCACAGTGAGATTAAACCGTTACAATCAATGCAGTTTTATGCTTTAAGTGTGAAATGGACTATAGTTTAATAACACCATTGTTCTCGGATTAACTCTGGATTAGCGGCAAAATACGATATCAAAGTCTGTCGGCATTCCGGGAGCACCCCGTTAATTAGTATGAAGGTTCATTAATCTGTAGGTTCATTAGTATTAAGGTTCGTTAGTCCGTAGATTCATTAGTTTGAAGGTTCATTAGTCCGTAGGTTAATTAATTTATTGGTCCAGTAGTCTGTTTCATTAGAAAAAAAGGTTCACGAATCAGGAAATTACATAAAATAAATACAGACAATTTCTACTTACATTGACGAATATTGTGCGACCTCCATGTCTAACAGTCTAAATTCTACAAATTGTATAATATATCCAGGTATGAAATATCTAAGTATTACCAGATGGTGGCAAATAAATTAATACATTTAATTAACATAGTAAAGGCGGTTTTGATTTGGAAAACTGTATGGAAGGCCATGAGGGACAAATGACCAACCCTTATGTCAGAGAATATTCACTGAAAAAATTGGGTTAACAAATACAAACCCAATAAGAGTCGAATAAGCAAGATTGTCTGAAAGCTCTCAGCGTTTTCCTCTGCAGCATCTCTTATCATATGAAATGATTTATCACAAGTATGGCTATCTTCATTGGCTCTATTGGCGCAGAAAAGTAGGACATTAAACTCATTTCATTCACTTAAAAATTTAAATTTACAGTAATTTAAATGGAATTTAAAACAATGCCCCTTTCATACCCTTTCTTGCAAATGTGTACCTTACAATGACAACCACGTGGTTGTGATTATCATAATGACTTAATAAGCTTCTATAGCGCCCAAGTGCAGCTCGTACAGCTGCTCGGTGTCGCAGAGATATGTAATACGATGCCCATTCTAGGTAATGCTGTGTGTGTAGATTCATTCCATACGAAACTGACCCCATTGTCAACCAAGGTGCAACGTTAAACAAGGAACGAACGATACTGACCCCGGGAAAGACCAGATGAGGAGGAAGGGGTGTCGACTCTAGTGGATATGTGTGTATATATAGACCTTCTACCGAGATTTTATTTCATGTTACAGTATGCAATATACAATTGCAATTCAATTGAATAATATTTCTTGTTTTCATGCACTAGATATTAATTTGATGAAAGACCCCTTACTCGAATTACAGCCCCGCCGCAACCATAATTCGGCTCTGTATTCATAATTAATAGGAGCAATCCGCGCATTGAAACGTACTAAACTGTTTCATACTGATAACCCCGCCTTTTGTTTGATCATCAGCGTGAAAAAGTATTATTTTGGTGCGGATTCTTCTTCTTTTTTCTTTTTTTTCATTTTTGCGATATTCCAGGAACTAAATACATAACTCTTCAAATCAATCGGGAAAGTGGGTGTGTATTTCGAAAGTTCTATCACAGATTTTAACCAGGGTCGGACTGGGTAGCTCTTAGTTCAGCTCTGAACGTAGGTCTTATTACACTCGCCCTGTACGTTCCGGAACCGCCCTGTTGAATCCTTGTTGAAAAACTTTCGAACCCCTGTCAATTTTACTGGGCAACTTTTTACTGCTAAACGATCGCGTGCCAGTCCCTGTGAACGCCTGCACAATGTAAAGGAACATTTTTTTGAGAAAATAAGACAGACCTTGCTTACATCGCTAGAGTCATTATTCGCGACACAACATGCTGTTAAAAATAGGTCACCTTCTGCTAAACGGCGTGACCCAGATTATGATAAACTCCGCACAGGTTAATTTCTCAATAAACAGAATATTATATCTTTACAATTTGAAGTAAGGAGGGATTTATTGATATTTAACGGAAAGTTTGTGAATATTCTCATTTACGCTGTACATTGTATCAAATATTGACCTCTGGAACGACTTGAGTTAACGAATGTTTTATAATCAGAGAAAGGTTAAATTATCTTGAAAATATGCTGCGTTACTACATCGACTGGCAATATTTTTATGCGTTCACATTCTTGTATTTGTTTGTTTGTCGTTTGGGACCGAGCCATGCCTGCATTATGTTTGTGTGTCCTGTGTTTCGCCTACAGGCCACAATTCTTAACAGATCCTTTTGAAACTTTACATACCCCTACATGCCACGATTCTTAATGGGTCGTCTTTGAACTTGGGACAACTGCATGTCCCGAGCCCCAGGGACAGAACCACGCTCAATTTTTGTGTTTATCGTTTACAGGCCGCAATTCTGAATGGATCAACTTGGTACTTGGCATATGTATTCCTTATAGCCTCAGGGCGTCAACTGTTTATTTTGCTGACCACCAGGGTCAGTGCCACGCCCAATTTTTGCCTTTAGCGCCCGAAGGCCACAATTCTGAATGGGTTATCTTAGAACTTGGTATACTTATTCCTTATACTGTAAGGATAGCAGCTATTTATTTTGGTGCATGTCCCCACCCACAGGGACAGTGTCACACCCACATTTTTGGTAATATTTTGTCAGGTGCCACACCCACCTTTTTGTTAGTTTTTATCGGTAAATACTCCACAGGTTGCAATACTTAAAAGATTTTGTTCAAATTGAGCATATCAATCATTTCAATAACAGGGTGGTATCTATTTATATTGTTCCATATCCAACCCCAGGGGCAGAACCACGCCCAATTTTTGTATTTATCGTCTACAGACTGCAATTCTGAATGGATCATTTTAGAACTTGGCATATTTATTCCTTATACCGTAAAGACAGCAACTATTTATTTTGGTGCATGCCCCGACCCCCTGGGGCAGTGTCACACCCACATTTTTGGTAATATTTTGTCTGTAAAATTGGCAAAACAAACCCAACGTCTAGCCTATTACATCCATTTCATATTTCATTCTCTTCATTTTAAAAAGTACCATATCAATCAAAGCAGGAATGTGGACGTATGTTGCAGCTTTAGCGATGCTCTTGTTTTATATTCTATTAACAATATTTAATTTCATTTGAAATTGGGGGGGGGGGGGCAGTAAGTCGGTAGAATTGGTTGAGAATGTTCTCTAGGATTTTCCAGCGGGTTTCCCCATGTCAGCGAGGTTTCTCCAAGGATATTGTCTAGTCGTTCGGGTTGGACGAAACAGGGAGGTCCCGTCTACACGTTGGCGTGGATGGAAAAGAATCGTTGTCAGTTGGACTTCAATATAAATGTAGGTCTTAGCGTACACTTTCCCTCATAGTACACCCCATTGCGTATGACTGTCTTCATTAGCCCAGTCTGTGCAGAACATTTCATGTTACTTTATAAAACGTGGACTAATTTGTTTCCCCATGTACATAAGTTATATACATGTATATATTATCTGTAGATTCATGGTTTGCAGTTTTTCATTAAAAAGATGACATATTCAAGATTTGTAACATGTTAATATACATGTATTTACATTTTTGGTCATTGAAAGGATATCACTTCCAATACTTTGATTATCATCAAATCACACCCTGTAAGAGCAAACTCGGGACTACGCATAGCTTCTATAACCTGTGTTTATAGTTTTCCAGTAATCCCATGATTATGTATACTCTCCACTTCCTTCATTCAAGGGAGATTGCATAGCAAAAATGTTTTTATACGCCCACATTTTCTTGTGGACGTCTATTGTCGTTGCCCCTGACCGTCCGAATACAGTTTCCTTTCGATATTGGCATGTATCGGACCGTAACTTCACGGATTATGGCCTTAGATTCTACGAAAAATCATGTTTTTAGCTTGTGGACACTCTAGAGGTCACAATGTTGATCCGATTTTGATAAATCTTCAAATGTATGTTTATTGCCCAAAGATCTCGGCTCCTGTCGACGCGCATATTGGACCGTATCTTCTTGGATTATGGCCTCTGATTGTACAAAAAATTACGTTTTTAGCTTGTGGTCCCTCTAGAGGCCACAATTTTTATCCGATTTTAAAAAAAAACCGTTCAATTATATTACTGCTACACCATAATGATAGGTGAGAACTAATTTCGTGAAAATCGGACCAAAAGTGCCGGACAAAATGGCCGCCGCTCGTACGCAAATAGCGTAAATTATGATATATTAAGGTTGTGGATCCCTTAAAGCTCACAGTTTTGATCCGATTTTGATGAAACTTGAAATACATGTTTATAACTCAAAGATCTTGGTTTTTGTCGGTATTTGCGCATACTGGATCGTAACTTCCTGCATTATGGCCCTTGATGTTACGAAAAAATCGACTTTTAGCTTGTGGTCCCTCTAGAGGTCGATACTCGCGCATATCCGAACATAACTCCCTGGATTATGGCCCCTGAATGTTCGAAAAATTACATGTTTACTAGAATTCCCGATTTGTATTCAGTTTAAAAAAAACAAAAAAAAAAAAAAAAAAAACATTTAAATATATCACCGTTACACATTATTGAAGCTTGAGTTCGAATTTCGTAAAAATCTGACCCTAACTACCGGACAAAATGTTCGCTCCTTGTAAGCAAATAGTTTAAGAGTATGTAATACTCTAGGAGTGACAATTTTTATCCGATTTATTTTGATGAAACTTTACATCTATGACTATAATCCAAAGATCTTGGTTCCTTTCGATATTTGCGCATATCGAACCGTAACTCCCTGGATTATCTCCCCAGAGTCTACGAAAAATCACGTTTTAAGCTTGTGGACACTCTAGCGGTCACAATTTTTATCTGAGTTTTAAAAACGTTTAAATGTATAACCGTTCCATCCTAATGACGATTAGGTTCGAATTTCATGAAAATCGCACGAAACAGCCTGACAAAATTGCCGCTCCTTTTATGCAAATAGTGTGAAAGTATGTAATACCAGGGTTGTGTACCCTCTAGAAGTCACAATTGTTATCCAATGTTGATGAAACTTAAAATATATCTTTATATCCCAAATATCTCAGTCCCTTTCGATATTCATGCATTTCAGACCGTAACGTCCTGGATTATGGCCCCTGATTGTACCAAAAATCACGTTTTTAGCGTGTGGACCCTCTAGAGGTCACAATTTTTACCCGATTTTAAAAAACGTTTAAATGTATCACTGTTGCACCCTATCCATCTCTTGCAAAATGTTGGCGTAGCGTGCCTGGCAACCCCTGGTTTCTATATACATGTATACTTGAATATAAATCATTATAAAACAGATTAATATATAAGTATACATTAAAGAGCATACTCCTTTTTTCCTGAAAAAATAAATTCCTTTAAAAGCTTTTGAAATTACTGCTTTCGAGAAGATCCGAGTGTTTGTGTGTATGTGTGTGTGTGTGTGTGTGTGTGTGTGTGGGAGGGGGGGGGATGCTACCCCGCGCGATAGAAATGTTTTGAAAAGCTAATGTTGGCCGAGAAATTTCCT